GTCCATCACTGTGAAACTGACTGCATCTGTGGGATGATACTTTGTCCCCTTATTTGGAACAGAAAAATTAATCATTTGGAACCAGTACAACCCATCACCGCCGCAGTTCTGCAGTTATTCTAGGTTTGATCTCTGTCACTGTATTTTAATGTAGGAGGTCTTATAGGGTTTGTGAAAAACACCTGGGGATCATTTCTTGAAAGGTCTAAGGAAGCAGTAGTTGTACCATGCAATGATGGGGCAGTTCTCTTTTGTAAAACCATAAGCTTTTTGGTACTCAGGAGGTTTCTATAATGCTACAGAGAAAGGGGCCAATTGTATGAGTAATTATTGCAATTGGATTTCAAGTTTTCCCCTTCTGTGCCTTCACACACATGTTTCTCTATTTAAAAAAAAAAGACAAAAGCCTCTTAATAAATTTAGGAAGTAGTCTTCTTTAATGAAGCTGTGCATAGAACAGCAGCTCTTCCTCACTCCTTGCACACCCTTAATATTTTTTCCTCTTTAGATTGGCAGCAGTCCATATCCTCAAAGGTGTGCAGGGACCTCAAGGAGTCTTCACCTATGAAATGTTACATTGGGAGTTGAGACCATCCAACTTGAACACTTAACTTATGTCAGAGATATTTCAGTACCTCCTTTCCCCTTTCTTCCCTTTTTGAAAGACATATTTGGGTAGTAGTTTAATCTCTCAGGATGCTCTTTCTAACATAGTTAAAAATGAAGAAAACTTTTTAGATGAAAACCCACAGAGTCTGGTTACTCAGAACCACCCTTGTCCCTTAGGCCCAACTTTTCCACATTGAAATCAACTCTTCCTTTGCTTAAGAGCTGTTCAGTATTAGTTGGTTTCAAAATTAATAGACGTGAGGTTCAGTCATATAAAATCAGGGATTTTATTCCATTAGTGAGAAATGTATTTGGCTTTTTAAACTTCCTTCCACAAAAGTTTAAGTCTGAGGACTTTCTTAGAGGAGATAACTATCCTTGGTAAGAGCATTGCATAAAATAAGGGAGACACTGAAAGTTGGATGTTTTGTTTCCAAGTATTAAAAATTCATGGGGACCATGTCTTTAGATGCTAGAAGTCTAGCGATAAGCAGTCTGGATTTCTGAGTTGTACTGTAGTTTTGCCTTGTCAGTGTGAGGCCCAGTAGATGTTCTCTTTCTCTTTGTGTTTTAATTTTTCTGTCATAAAACTAGAAACAATTTTCTGTCCTTTGGATTAGGAACTGAAACTGCATTTCCCTGGGAATTTACCATTTTGCTTCAAGTCCCAGTTCAAACATCCCATCTCTGAATCTTTTCTTTCATTCCTCTGGGCAGTTAGGGGCTATTATAAAACTTTGCTCATGCCTGTTTTATAACATCACATCGCACTGTAGTTATTTGACTATTTCTGTTTCTGTTCTGGGGGCTTCTTGATGGGTAGGAAATCATGTTTTATTCATCTTGATGTCTCTATTATCCAGTACAGTGCCTCGCACAGTAGATACAAAGAATTATTGGAAGAATGGATGGGTGGGTGGATGGATAGATGGATGAAGGCAGTTGACTTGACTAGATCCTATTTACAGGTAGACTAGCCATTGGCTCCTAAGGGGGTCTAGACAAGACTTAAGAGTTGGAGCAATGCAGATTCTTATCTGCTCTTTGAACAGTCAATAAGGGCATCTTTGTATTTAAATTCAGGAAATGTTATTCAGATTTTATACTTCTCTGTTTACCTCAGTGTAGGTGGTATGAGGATGGTGTGTAACAATAAGAAAAATGTATGTATGTTTTTGAAAATTTGAAAATAATTTTTATCCCCATGACTTTTGAAGCTTGTTGTTGTCTGTTGTTAATGCTGGCTAGGTCTTGGGGTGCCTGAGTGGCTCATTCAGTTGAGCATCTGACTCTTGGTTTCAGCTCAGGTCATGATCTTATGGTCATGAGATTGAGTCCACACTTAGTGTGGAGTCCGCTTGAGATTCTCTGCCTCACCCTCTCCCTAAGCACTGCCCACCCCCTGCAAAATAAATGAATAAATAAAATCTTTAAAAACAAAAAATAAAAAACATAGCTGGGTCCCACATTACCTTTCCTTCTCAGAGTGCTAAAGGGCATACTTTTCTTAGAAAAAAGAATAGTTTATTTGAATAAGTGGAATACATGGGTGAGACAAGTAATGCTTTTCCTTTATCTGGAGAGTATCCTCTGTATGACATCATTAGTGTCCCACCTTACTTTACTGTGGCATTCAGGTTCTCCTAGTTGCCAAGAAGAGAAACTTCCAGCTAGTTAAAGCAAAAGAACTTATTAGAAGCATATGAGGGCATCTCAAAGAATCTAAACAGAATTCCTAGAGCTAGAGGGATAGAAAGTAGGGCAACCTACAGGAACTACAACTCAAGAATTTTGGACTGCTCTAGAGTGCTACTATGGGCAGTTCCAGACACTGTCACACTCTGTCTCTCAGGCTGAGCTTCCCAAGAGAAAAAAGTTTAATGGGCTCCTTTGGTTTGGCTCCAAAGAGGTAATTCCCTACCCTTGACCCCTATACTGATTACAAACAAGAACACACAAAAGTACACAAAAATCCATCTTCCCATTCATCTAAATATGCTATCAGTTAAGATAATCCTACTGCATCTAGAGATAAGGTGCTGTGAGTAAGGCAGAGGGATACAACTACAAATCATTTAATATTTATCAAATACTTTTTGAGCATCTACTATGCACAAAAAGTGGGAGATTAAAAAAAAAAGTTTACAACAGGGGCGCCTGGGTGGCTCAGTGGGTTAAGCCGCTGCCTTCGGCTCAGGTCATGATCTCAGGGTCCTGGGATCGAGTCCCGCATCGGGCTCTCTGCTCGGCAGGGAGCCTGCTTCTGGCTAGTCTGAATTAAGAGGTGCTGTAAGCATAAAATACGCTTCAAAGACTTACTACCAAAAAGAAAATGTAGAATATTTCACTTTAAAATATTATTTACGGGGCGCCTGGGTGGCTTAGTCATTAAGGGTCTGCCTTCGGCTCAGGTCAATGATCTCAGGGTCCTGGGATCGAGTCCCGCATCGGGCTCTCTGCTCGGCAGGGAGCCTGCTTCTCTCTCTCTCTCTCTGCCTGCCTCTCTGTCTACTTGTGATCTCTCTCTGTCAAATAAATAAATAAAATCTTTAAAAAAAAAAAAAAGTTTACAACAGGCTCCCTAACCTCAAGGGACTCTGTAGTTGAGATGATAAAGTAAAAAACAATATGAGAGGCATCACAGGCAGAAGGTGATTAAAGTGACATGATGCCTTAATCATAAGGCCAGTTACTCATGCAGACAATGTGAATTTGGAGTTCAGAGGAGGAAGAAATTTCCATCTAATGCAGATGGGAATCTTCATAGAGATAAAATTTGAGTTATGCTTTGTGGGATGAGTAAGTGACGTGGTTCTTGAGAGTTCTAAAAGTTCATTCTTTCTACTTATGAAAACAATTTATGTCACATGTAATACAAGAAACTGTAACATATGTAGCAAGGCAGTATCTGGTGAACCTAGCAGGGAAAGGGAAATTTTCGACTCCTGAGAGAAAGTTCACGATGGAGGAAGAAGTTATTGAGTTCCATGAGTAGAACTCAGCAACAAGGGCTTAAAATAGGAGAATGGTGGTTCCAGATAGTGTGGTGACTATAGTGAAATCCCTCCTTGATGCCTTTACTCTGATGGCAAAGGCATGTGCTAGGAAGGAGAGAGCTGTGTTTAAACAATGATCCAAGCAAACCTCATAACACGTTTTGACTCGGTGTTGTTCTGAGACCCCTCAAAAAGGCCAGATCACAGAGTAAGAAAAGTATTTCTCTAGTGGTAAGAAAAAGTAAGACCTGGGGACTTGGAGAAGCAGGAGTGTGACAGAAGGTGGAGTCTGAGGAACTGAGATGGAATAGCAGCAACAGTGAGCAGTTACAAAAGGTCTGGGGACTTCTTGAGGTACTACTAAATGGCAAAGAGAAACTTACAAATGAGGCTCCCAAAGTTAACCAAAGAAGCAGAGAAGGCAGCTCTGGAGTTAGTGAAATTTACCTGTTAATATGACATCATTTGTATCTATGGGGTAGTGAGTCCTGGGGACATTTGAGTTGTATACAAATGACTTAAGTAGTAACTGCCCAACATCCTTGCTCCACAATTCTAAGCCCTCCCTCATCCCAGAATTATTCTGGAATCATCACAAGCATTCAACTTTTTCTACATGTAGACTGCAGACTTCACAGCCATTCTTTTGGACTTTCAGGCCTTGGGAACTTTATCCTGGTGCCCACCCATGTCTGTATGGGATAAGCAGCAACCTAGAGTCAAAGCCAGGAGTAAAGGGATCTAAATTCTTCATTCACCAGCGTACCTGCCAGACACAATGCTAGGTTCTGAACCTACAGAGGTGAATATACCTTGTCTGTGAACTCAGAATTAGTCTACTGAGACACATCAGCAAATAGGAAGTTGTGATGCAATGTAGTAAGTGCTATGATGGGAGTTAATCTAATCCTGTTTCCCAGATGACTGTCACTAATTAAGGTAGTCCCTGTAGTCAGTCACTCCTCTGGACCTTATCAAATTCCAATTTTTTTTTTTTCAAATTCCAAAATTCTATTTGCTGTATTCTACTAAAGAGTTTAGCAGTTTTGAATTACATCTAGAAAGGATTAAAGGAGGGGTAGGGATTGACAAAAAATAATGGACTATGGTTGCCAGTAAAATGAAATTACACAAACCAGTTTGGGAATATTTTAAATGCATGCATTTTAATAAAAACTATACCTCGAAGCATACGTTAGCAGAAGCTGCACTGATATTATTGCTGGATTATCAAAGAAAAACACCTGGTAGAAATTCCATAAGTTGTCCTGCCTTTCGAGCAATAGTAGGCATATCAACTAAAGGGAGTAAAATCCATCTTACGAAGAACCACCCAAAGCTGATTCTTCAAAAAAGCGTTCTGGAAATCTCGGTGTATCTGGTACCAAGACCTACCTTCAATGCCACGTTTCTTTCCAGAAACCAGAATTGAAGACTATGGGTGGTGTCCGCCCAGGCCGGGAGGCTTCGGCACGTTGGTCACAGGTTGGGCTTGTATTTGTGCAAATTGTCTTTCCCCTTCCCACTCCACTAGTACTGAATACTGCACTTTCTTTTTCATTCGTGTGGAATTTCCGGAGTTTTAAACACGTTAAATTACTTCAGCCTGTGACAACATCTGGCCGCTTGGAGCCTGCCCTAGACCCGGTTTGTGCGGCCCAAGACACCGACAGAGACCCAGAGAAAACAGACAGGAAGCCGGCCCGCGCAGTACTTAAGGTGACTATTCGCGGTCAACTCGCTTCCGGGGGGCGGGCCTAACACCGCCGGGGTTCGTCCCTCTTCCACCCGGAAGTATTTTGACTAGGGCTCCGCAGTCTACCCGCCCATTGGCTTTTGCCCCAGTGAGGGTGGGACTTCCTGTCTCGTGTAGCCAAGGTCCTCCAAAGTGAGCGCCGGCGCGGAGAACGAGGATGTCCGGAGCTGTGGCGACGAGGCTGGCAGCAGATTAGGTGGGGCCTAGTGCACCGGTACTCACTGACTCATTACTGCAGTTATCCTTACTGTCCTCCCACCGTGTTTCCGGGAGGACTTGCAGCTCTGAGAACCCAAGCATGTGTCTATCCGCAGGTTCGGAGAAGGCCATGGAGGTGCGGCGGCCAGCGCCACAGAGTTTCCCCCGCAGGCAGCTGAGTCCTTTCCCTCGGGTTTTTGCTGCGGGGGCTGTGGCCGCCGATTCGGAGGCTCCCACGGAGAGTCAGAAGCTGTCTTCTAACGTCCCAAAGCCCGAGTACTCGGAATCCGGATGGGACCGCCTCCGGGACCTGTTTGTCAAAGAGTAAAAGTGCCTAGGGTCTGTGGGGAGGGGACTATGAAGAGGTGTCCTAAAACCTGGGTCATCTTGGGGTGAAGGACCCCTGGATGTGGTTTATTTTTAAATAAGATTTGGCGTTCTAATATTTAAATCCCAGGCTTGTATCCTGACATTGTCATTTGGTAGTTGTGATGATTGACAGGACAAATTTCAGACTGTAAGGGTGAAACTCATTCCATGTTCCAGCTCTTAGGGATATTTAGGGAATATAGTTTTAGTGTAATCCTCTGGCTTTACAAATTAGAAGAATTGGACCGAGCTAATAGTGTCTAGATTGACCCTGGAATCCACATCTGCAAGATTCCGCTCCATTATTCTTTTTCATATTTCACTTTATCCCAAACTGATACTTTGTGGCCATAACTCCTGCTCCTCTCCAAAAAATGAAGGCTGAAGAGATGCAAAGAGACATGTAAAATTTTTATTCTGTCAAATAAGGAATATATAAAAAAATAGCAAATAATTTTTCATTTTATGAAAAAAGATATTAGCTGGATTAACAGATAAGGTTATTTCAGAATAAAGGATAACCCTTCAAATTGAATTAACTGTAGTGAAAAACTCAGGATATTTTACTCATTCATTCATTCATTTAATCATTTATTCATTTACCAATTACTGGTGAAAAATTTGCCCTTTCATGGAGTATATTACCATACTACAGTGTTATCCAGTGGTTAAATTAACTGAAGTTTTATGATGTTGCTGAGATTGTGAGATTGTTGGCAGAATCGTATTTACCTGCTTTCTTGAGATTTCATCTTTTTTAAAAAAGATTTTATTTGTTTGAGAGAGCGAGTAAGAGAGCATGAGCCAGGGGGAGGGGCGGAAGGAGAGGGAGGAACAGGGAACCCAGCATGGGCCATCATCTGGGGATACTGACATCATAACCCAAGCCAAAAGCATATGCTTAACCCACTGAGCCACCCAGACACCCCTCATCTTCATTTTAAAGACAATGAGGCAGCCTTTCTCGTTCTTCTTCTAATAGTTGAGATACTTGTGAAAGATCCTATGTAGTGCATAACAGAAGAGGGTTATTTTGACCAGCTTTATAAACCACAGAATGCTGGAACTGAAATAAATTTGAGGGTAGTGTAGTGTAATTTCCATGCTCCCCTCCATTGTAGATGAGGAAACTAAGTTTTATAGAGATTGTGATCTGGCTGCAGGTCACTTAACAGTGGGTGACAGAACCAGAACCACAACCATGTTGCCATTTGTAGGTTAGGTCCTTTCCACCACTATGCTGTTTCTTCACTTTTCATTAACTGTTTGGGCCAACCATAGGACTTTGAGCCTCTATTTCCGTATCAGCAAAATGGGGATAAATATCACCCAGGTCATGGAATTTTTCAGGGAACAAAAAGGAGGCAAAGCATATACATCTGGCTTGTTAAGTTTTAAGCTCTTTTATATTTTCTCTTCTGACTTCTACCATATACCAGTTTTTAGGTAAATGTTTTTGATCTTATTCACTATAAAAGATAAATACAGGGTTCAAATTACTGGAGTTTTTCCTATTGACATAATTAGAAGAATTACAGTTTTCTAAGAAATTAGATTTCTCTTGTAGATGTAGGAACTGTAAAGACTCATTGATTTTGAGTTCAGAATTGTTATTGACAGGGCACCTGGGCAGCTTAGTCAGTTAAGTGACCAACTTGATTTTGGCTCAGGTCATGATCTCAGAGTTGTGGGAGCAAGCCCCTGGGTCGGGTTCTGCACCCAGTGGGGCGTCTGCTTGAGATTCTCCCCCCCCCACCTTCTCTTTTCTCCACTTGTGCTCATGCACTCTCTCTTTCTCGCTATAAATAAATAAATAAAATCCTTATTAAAAATTTCAAAAAGGAAAATACTGATCTTTGGATCCAGCTTACAGATTCTTCCTGCTTCTAGAGATGTGATTGAGTTATGATAGTCATCTAATAAAAGCACCTTAGGGGGGGAAAAAAAAACTCTTTTGGAATATAATATGCACCTAGAAAAACATACGTAAGTATATTGATCAATGAATTTTCACAAACTATATACCAATACCGAGAGACTTAGCAGCATTTCAGAAGCTCCCCTTGTGCCCCTTCTAGTCACTGTCTTTCCAAGAGAAATCAACTAATAGCCTAATTTCTAACAGCGTAGATTAAAATTGGCTGAGATTTGAGGTACTTATAACCATGCTATTTAATTCATCAGAAGATTTAATTTATCAGAAGATTCTGCTCATGATGAAAGATGTGATGTTAGTATTGGGATGATCTTGAACATACTTTTGGAGAGCAGTATCCATAAATTGATCTCAAACAACTTTGTCTTTTTGATGTCCTAGCGAACAACAGAGAACTTCAAAGGAACTTGAGAATATTTATAAGGCGGCACTTTCAGCAGGCGTCATTGGCTGGGCATATGGGGGAGTACCAGCTTTTATTCATGCTAAACAGCGCTATGTTGAACAGAGCCAAGCAGAAGTTTATCATAACCGGTTTGATGCTGTGGTAAGTGCTGCTATTCTAAAAGTATTTGAGGGCACAGCAGTTTGCAGTTTACTTTAAATTTACTCAGGTAGGAGGGTTGGGAGGGTTTAGGATGTAAGAGTAAAGAAACAAAATCTGTACTTAATAAATAACAGTGAAAGTCCTAATGCCAGAGTGCATACACATGGCTTGTCAGACCACGGTCCTTATCTTCAGAGGGATTACCACCATGGCTTTACTTTCTGAAATGTGTTTCTAATCCCTAGCTAAATTATCAAGGTTAGCATATTAACCCCATTCACAAAGCCTCCATGGAGGACACTAGTTCACAATAAATAGTAATTAGCATTTATAACTGCAGTGCTAACTCATTTGTTAGATTTGTATATCAGTTCTGTTGTATAAGTGAGGAAGTTACAGCTCTGAGGGTTGTTTTGAGGTTTTTTTGAAATTATGTCAGACTTAGACAAGTTGCAAAAGTAGTACAAAGAATTCCTCTCTACCTTTCACCCAAATTCTTCAAATGTTAACATTTTACTGCATTTATTTTATCATTCTCTGTATAATGCATACTGTTATTTATTTGTAGCTACTAGAGAGTAAGGTGTAGTCATGATTAATACTTCAGCATATATTCTCTGAAAACAAAGATATTTCTCTTCTATAACCACAATATATTATCCAGATTAGGAAATTAACACTGACACAGTACTTTTATCTTATTTATAGACTCTATGTAAATTTTGGTAGTCATCCCACTAATATAATTTATCTTAAAAGTAAGTAAATTTTTTTTCAGTCCAGGATCTAATTCTTGATCAGATGTTGAATTTGCCTTTCATGCCTCTTTAGTCTCTTTTAATCCAGAACAGTTTCTTTAACTTTCTTGATTGTAACATTTTTTAAGATTGTGGGCTATATGTTTAGTAGAATGTTTCTCAATTTGGATTTGTTTACGTTTTCTCATGATTAGATTCCAGCTCTGAGTTTTATCAGGAATATCCTAGAATCGATTTTTTTTTTTTTAAAGTACATTATATCAGGAGCACGTGGTATCTTTTGTTTCTTTCCTGATGATACATACTTAAGGCACTTGGTTGAGATGGTCTTTGCCAGGCTTATCCACTGTAAGATTACTTTTTTTCCCCCCTTGTAATTAGTAAGTTTCTAATGGGTACTTATAAGATATTTTGAGACTATGTAAATATCCTATTTTTTCCACAAATTTCTGTGCTCTAGTTTTAGCATTCAGTGATTACTCTTACCTGGAAGAGTTAGTACTGTGGTGGTTGCTATATGGTTATATTCTAATTCCATCTTTCCTATATTTATTTTTTAGTAGTCAGCTTTAAGGAAGAGCTTTTCCTCCTCCTGTATTTGTTTCTTTATGATTTATTTGTATAAATAAATCATGGACTCATGAATTCTTACTTTAGTCTAGAGGTTCATAATCCATTATTACCATTATTTATCGTGAAGCTCAAATTGACCTAGATTTGGACAGTTGGAGACCTTCAAACTAGCTCCTTTGTCTTTTTGATGTGTCCCAATCATTCTTTGAACATGTGTTTACTTTTGAGCATAGCAGCATGTTGCTGGCTCATCTTTTACTTTCCCAGCACCAGCCCCAGAATTAGTTATCATCAAAGCATTCTAGTTTCTTTTAGTGGAAAAATGGTATTTAAAAACTAAGATTTGATGCTAGGTGTGCTCATTGCTTATAGTTATCATGGCTTTTGGACCATAAGTAGACAAAATTAGGAAATGTGTGTGTTCATGTGTACTTCTATACACATATTCATACACACTTCTATATTTATTTATTTATCCACCTATTAAAAGCCATGAATTCAGGGGCACTTGGGTAGCTCAGTTGGTTGAGCATCTGGTTCTTGGTGTTTGCTTAGGCCATGATCTCGGGGTCGTGGGATTGGGGCCTGTGTTGGCCTCTGTGCTAGGCAGGGAGTCTGCTTGGGGATTCTCTTTCTCCCTCTCCCTCTGCCCTTCCCCCTGCTCACATGCTCTCTCTCTCTAAAATAAATGAATAAATCTTGAAAAAAAAAAGACAACAAAAAACAAAACATAAAGCCATGAGTCCATCCTGATACTCTTCAGAGAGTTTTGACTTGCCCAATATCATATAGTAGTTAAGAATCCACTTGGGAATTCTCTCAAAGTCTAGACCATATCCTCAGAATATTACACCAGACTTGCTCCATGGTGTGTGGTGAAAAAGTGCTGTGGAGACAGATGACCTGTTTTCCAATTCTGACTTTATTCTTTATTGGCTGAGTAATTTTGGTAAGAAACTTCTCTCTGCTTTAGTAAAAACTGAAGACCTGCCTGAAAAACATGTTGTAAAGATTAGATGAGGTAATATGTTAACACAACTTTTACATAGAAGATGGATGATAAATATCACTTCTCTTCTTTCTCTGTTCCTTTCCTGCATATCTATTTTACTATCATCCTTTCCCTTTAATTTACCATTTAGTTGGTTGTGCTTTTTAATTTTATGGTTTCTTTTTCCCAAGATTTCCTGAATATAAAAAGCATGTCTACCACTAATGTTATATCTGCTATGGCATTTACCATATAGATTGTCACTTTATGCCTCACTGTTGGATTACGCGGTTGACACTGGCAATTCTTAGTGCCTTTTCCATTTCCTGATGGAATAGGATGGTGTGGGACTTTCACTTTAGCTTCACCACTTAAACAATGATATTTCTAGAGATTGTAGGATGTTTCTGTTTAGGTGTCCCTGCTTAATCCATAAGCCAACATCCCTCTGCCACAGTTTTCAGAATAAAGAAGGTACCAGGGTGTTCTGGAACCTCATAGCCTTTTCGTTACCTTTAGCAATCTGCACATCGTGCTGCCACACGAGGTTTCATCCGGTATGGCTGGCGCTGGAGCTGGAGAACTACAGTGTTTGTGACTATATTCAAGTAAGTGCTCTCTGAATCATGACAAAGGCTCTCGGTATTCTTTTAGGAGCACATCTTTTGAGCAAGTGGGATTTTTATTTATTTATTTATTTATTTTTAAAGATTTATTTATTTGACAAACGGAGATCACAAGTAGGCAGAGAGGCAGGCAGAGAGCGAGAAGGAAGCAGGCTCTCCACTGAGCGGAGAGCCCTATACAGGGCTCAATCCCAGGACCCTGGGACCATGACCCGAGCCAAAGGCAGAGGCTTTAACCCACTGAGCTACCCCGGCGCCCCGAGCAAGTGGGATTTTTAAAAACTAAATACCCACATGAAAGTGATTCATAATACCCTTTTCCTCAAGAACTTTTATCTTTCTGTGTAAAAGATCGGTCCAAATGTAGTTTTGCATCCATGGGTGAAAGTCTACTATTATCCAAATAGGTACAAGGTTTCTAAGTAAGAGAAATTCTGCAAAATTTTTCTTTACATTTCTTTTTCTAAGTGAATATTTTTTCCAGAAATTTGACTGTTCTTTGGTTCATTCTTCAGCAGAAGGCGGGCCACCTAGAAAACCCATAGGCATATTAGTAATCTGGAACACATTGACAGGGCCTAGACTAAGACCAGGAATTGACATAGTGGGCACTTCTTTAAGGAAAATTGTGGTCAAGAATGTAACGGGGATGGGGCGCCTGGGTGGCTCAGTGGGTTAAGCCTCTGCCTTCAGCTTAGGTCATGATCTTGGGGTCCTGGGATTGAGCCCCACGTCAGGCTCTCTGCTCAGCAGGGAGCCTACTTCCCTCTCTCTCTCTGCCTGCCTCTCTGCCTACTTGTGATCTCTCTCTCTGTCAAATAAATAAATAAAATCTTAAAAAAAAAAAAAGAAAGTAAGGGGGATATGCTTTAAATTTTATGTTTTCTTCCTTCTCCCTTCTTCCCAGCACAGTCAACACTGGTCTAAATGTGTACCGAAATAAAAGTGCCCTAAGCCATTTTGTCATTGCAGGAGGTAAGACATTTTTGTTCTCGTTTATGTTTTTCAGTCTTCTCAGATATGGTCTGGAAAATATTTAAGGACTTGTAAGTAAGAGCTACTGAATTCTTTGGTTAGCTTCTTATCACATCTCATTCAACATTCTTGCAAAATATGTGAAGGGCATTATGCGTGGCTCTTGGCGTACTTGGTGAACAAAACAGAAAAGTCTTTGCTTTCATGGAGTTTACCATCTATGTGGTTGGGGAGAAAGATTGCTGTGATAAAAGGTAGCAAATAGGTGAAGCAGTGGGATGGTCAGGGTGATCAGAGAAGGTTTTTATGAGGAGGTGACATTGAAGCTGATGTGTGAAAAATGGGAAGAAGTAAGCCTTATAAAAAAGAGTAGCCTACGCAGAGGGAACATTGAGGGTGAAGGCACTAAGGCAAGAAAAGTTTCTCAAGAGCAGGATAATAAGACCGGAACATAGTGAGTGAGGGAAAGAGTGGCTTTGAGATGAGATTGGTGAAGTGAAGTAGAAAGGGACCAGATTTTTCATGGTAAGAGCTTGGATTTTATTTTAAAGGTCTGTGCCTCTGGTAAATGTGACTTCTTTAAAATGAACATTAAAAAAAGTATTGAAATGTTATTTCCAGAAATGCAAATCAAGTGCCATATACACTCAAACACTCACTAACTCGTGTACATTCTCTCACATAGAAAAACATTACATATAGTGCATATAACATTTACAATATGTTTAATTTGGAAATAATTTCAAGCTTACAAAGAGTTTTAAAAGTAAAAGTAATACAAGGAACACCATACAGCTTTTATATATGGAGACTCAACTGTTGTTAACATTTCAGCCCATTTGCTTTATCATTTGTGCTCTCTGTGGGGTGCATGCTCTCTTTGTGTATATACATACACATATACATATTCTGTGTATATGTATATACACACAGGCAAACACACATACACATAATTTGAACTTAACAATTGAGTGGAAACATTTTAAAATACGAAACTAGAAATAGGCATTAATAGCATTGAAGAAACTGGAACTTTCCCTTTTTTAACTTGCAACCATTTTTCCATGGGTACTCTGTAGACTCATATGCCTGTATCCAAACCAAACTGTCTTCCTTCTCCAGCTTCCATACTTGTTCCTGCTGTTATGTTCTCTATTATCTACCCTGTTAAATTAAAAAACAAACAAACAAAAACCACAACAACAGCAACAAAGCCAAGCAATGATATGGTTCTGCCCTTTATCCCCCTCTTTCCAAAATTCTAGTCCTATCAGTTATATTCCTTTAATATATATGGACCCTCAGCTCCTCTTTTTTCCTACTCCTGCTGTCTGGTGTTCCCTGTTTCTAGTCTTCATGTGCTCCACTTCCAGTGTTGCCTTACTTTTTTGAAATATGAATATGATTGTAACACTTCTTTGCTTGAGTTTCTTCCATAGTTTCCCATCATTTTAATGTTGATTCTTCATCTGGCCCCCATATACTGCTCTTGCTCTGCCCTATGACTCTACTCTGATTTCCCAAACCCAACATAATCTTGCTTTACATGTGTTGGTCCATCTTGAACCTGTCTTCCTAGTCCCACAGACACTTTTGTTCAGCTCTTATTGGACCTATCTTTCAAGCTCATCTCTCAGCTTCAGTTTCCCTAGAGGTCCTTTCTAGCCCCTATTTTCTTATCTTTGGGTCTTTTTAGGTGTCTTTCCCCTGTGTTCCCATAATTTACTGTAAATACTTTAATTGAAGCACTGATAACATTATGTTATAGCTGTTGTTTTGCTTCTCTAATAGATGACTTACTTGATCAGAGAAAGTCTTTGCCTTTTTCACAACTCTTTGATGCAGAGTAGAGTAGAAAGATGTCTCTTGAATATAAACTGAGTGTAAAATTAGTAAAAATAGTCCTGAATCAGGCTCCTTGCTAAGCAAGAAGCCTGCTACTCCCTCTACTGCTACTCCCCCTGCTTGTCCTCGCTCGCTCTCTGACAAATAAATAAATAAAATATTTTAAAAAATTAGTAAAAATAATAAGAATAGAAAAATACATCTGATACAATAGAAGTTTTTATCTCATACCAACAACCAACATTGAACTTAATGGTGTAGCATAAAGTAATTTCCCCTGAAGTCAGAATCAGGTCAAGGATATCTCCTCTCATTCTTATTACTTGGCATTCAATCTGGACATTTATAAATGTATATTTGACGTCTAGAATGGCTGAGTGAGAAGCTTCACAAATCCTCTCTACAAAAAGCAATAATAGAATTGGACAGAATTATCAAAAACAACCATTTAAAGATGCTAGAGGTTGACCACAAGGACCCAGTAGATCAGTAAGCATTTATCCAAGAATTTATACTGAGTCTCATTAAGAACATTGAGAGTCTGTGGTGTTTCAGCCTAGGACTGCTCTTGCCCTCTAACCCACAGCTCCATGATGCAGAAATTTCACAAGGATAGATTGGAGAACCAGCTTCTGCTGCTTAAGGTGGCTGGCTTTATTTGGAGCAGAGATCAGAAAATTTCAAGCCAAGGGGTGTTGCAAAAATAATTGCAACAAAGAAGGATAATGTCAAACACCTAACCTGAGGTTTTGTTACTATTTGAGGTGAGGAATAGCCTGGCAGAGGAGGTGGAATCTTTTTTTTTTTTTTAAAGATTTTATTTATTTATTTGACAGAGACCAGAAGTGGGCAGAGAGGCAGGCAGGGAGAGAGAGAGGGGGAAGCAGGCTCCTGAGAGCAGAGAGCCTGATGCGGGGCTCTATCCCAGGGTCCTGAGATCACGACCTGAGCCGAAGGCAGAGGCTTTAACCCACTGAGCCACCCAGGCGCTCCGAGGAGGTGGAATCTTAACAGGGATATCTAGGGAACAAGACAGTCCAAGAAGTCTTTAATAAGATCCCACTTATTCCTAGCACTTTGGAAAGTTGCACACATGTGTAAGTATTTATGCAAATTCAGGAGAGACTGGTAAGGGCTCTAGCAAGCTGCTTATCTTTAGCTAATTGTAAGGGTTAATTGTGGACACTAAAAGAAAAAGCCAGAAAAGATTTATAAACTTTGAATGCATTCTTCAACCACAGATATGTTGGCAAGGAATGGAAACCTTATTCGCTTGAGATGTTTAAGCATAACCTCTGATGACTCGATGGATGACTGCTTAAGCCAGTGTGATGCCCAGGAAGCCAGGCATAAAGATAAAAATTAATGAAAGGCATTAGTGGCTGTAGTCTGCAGAAAAAAAGACTCTGTAGAATTGGTCCAGGCAAGTTGTTACATAAACAAAGAATTATAGCCATCCCCTGGAAGGATGTCCTAACTCTAGAGATGCTATAATTTATTACCTAAAATATGCAGTTTTCAACAAAAACAAAAAAATTGTAAGACATGCAAAGATGGGATTAAAAAAAGCAGTCATTGGGACTGTCTCTGACAGGACCCATCTGTTGAACATAGCAGGCAAAAGGCTTCATACCATTTTTAAAGAAATAAAAGTTTGATGACAGTGACTTATCAAATAGAGAATGTCAGTAAAGACAGAAATTACAAAAAAGAATCAAATAAAAATTCTGGAGTTGATAAATATCACAATAGAAATTAAAAGTTCACTGGAGAGGAGGAGTTCAACATCATATTTAAAGTAGCAGAAAAGAATTGGTGAACCTGAAGATATATCAGTATAGATTGTCTCTTGTGAAGCACAGAATTTTTTAAAAGATTTTATTTGAGAGAGAGAGTAAGCACATGAGTGGTGAGTAGGGGCAGAGGGAGAGGGAGAAGCAGACTCCCTGCTGACCAGGGAGCCCAATGCCAGACTTGATCCCAGGACCCTAAGATCATGACCTGAGCCGAAGGCAGACGCTTATCTGACTGAGCCACTCAGGTGCCCTTGAAGGACAGAATTTTTTAAAATGAAGAGAAGTGAACTGAGCCTCAGCAATCTATAGGACACCATCAAATACCAACAGGTTGCTAGGAATGGTAGATGGCGAGAAAAGAGAGAAAGGGGCAGAAAAAAGTATTTTAAGAAATAAGACTACAAACTTCCCAAATTTGTTGAAAAACATTAATCCATACATCAAAGAGGCTCAACAAACTGTAAGATGAATAAACATGAAGAGAGTCACACCTAGACATGTAATAATTATACTGTTGAAAGAGAAAAATCTTAAAAGCTGCAAGAAAAATACAACTCATACAAGGAATGCCCCAATAAGATTAACAGCCAGTTGCTCATCAGAATGATGGAAGCAAGAAGGCAGTAGAATGGCATTCAAAGGCCTGAAAAGAATAAATTGTCAACCAAGAATTCTATATCTAGTAAACCATTCTTCAAAATTGAAGGCAAAAGTAAAGACGTTGGCTGATAAACAAAGAAAGAAATTTATTATTAGCAGAACTGCCTTACATAATTCTATAGCAATTCTTCAGGCTAAAAGGAAGGGATACCAGATGGTAACCTCACTCTATGTGAAGCTTTAAAGAGCATTGGTCAAGATAATTACATAAGTAATTATTAAAGGTTGTATAAATATATATTTTCTTTTAACTGATATAAAAGATAATACATAACTAATAAAAAATAATACATAAAGTAATAATATAATCAAAGTATTAGACATATAGCATGTTTAAAACTGTATATGGCATTAATAGCACAAGTGAGAGGGAAGGAATGGAAATACGTTGGAACATATTTAAAACAGGAGATGTTACGAAGTAGTAACTTGACAGGAAGAAATGAAAAGTACTAGAAATGGTGAATATGTAGGTTAATAGAAAAGTCATAAACCCATTGTTTTTCCTTTCTTAACTTTTTCCCTTCTTTAAAATATATATGATTGTGTAAAATAATAACATTGTATTGTTGTGTTTTAACATATATACATAATGTAAGTGACAATGATAGCACAAAATGGGAGAGGAGTGGAGCTGTATTGGAACAGTCTTTGTACATGTTACTGGACTCAAATTGTTACTGATCTGAAGTAGATTGTGATAAATTAAGAAGCTAGGGTAATCCCTAAAGCAAGTAATAAAGTAACTTTTTAAAGTAGTAACAAGGTAAAAAAGAAATAAGATATATAGAAAACAGTAAGATGGCAGGCCTAAATCCAGCTATATCAGTAATAACATTAAACACAAGTAGATTAAACACTGCAATCAATAGGCAGAAATTGTCTGACTCCATTAAAAAAGGATCAACTGTATGCTGTCTACAGGAGACATATTTTAGTTCAAGGAAACAAGTAAGTTGAAAATAAAATGATGGAAAAAGATAAACTATGCAAACAGTAAGGAAAAGAGCTTGAGTGGCTCTTCTAGTATCAGACAAGATAGACTTTAATATAAAAATGCTAGCAACAAAGAAGGACATTTTATAATGTTAAAAGAACCAATTAATCAAGATGATATAACATTTATAAACATAAATGCATCTAGCAACAGAGCTTCTAAATACATGAAACAAACACTAAATTGAGACGAGAAATAGCCAACTCAGTAACAGTTGTTGGAGGCTTTAATATGACACTTTTAGTAATGGATAGGACAACTAGAGGAAATATCAACAAGGATATAGAATATTTGAACAACACTATCAACCTGTATGAACTAAGATCTATAGAACAGTCTGCCCAACAACAGCAGAATACATTCTTTCCAAGTGCGCATGGGATAATCTTTAGGCTAGACTGTATATAAGGCCACAAAACAAGTCTTAATAAATTTAAAGTACTGAAATCATACAACATACTTTCTCTGACCTCAGTGGAATTAAACTGAAAAAAGATGGGGGAATCCACAAGTATTTGGAAATTTAAACAACATATTTATAAATAACCCGTAGACCACAAGGAATCACAAGATAAATTAGAAATATTTTGAGTTAAATGAAAATGAAAACACATGTCAAAATTTCTAAGATGCACCCAAATTAGTTTGTAGTAGGAAATTTATAGTTATAAACATCTACATTATAAAAGAAGATCTCAAATGAACAATCTAAGCTTCTACCTTTAAAAACTAGAAAATGAGAAGCAAAATAAACCCAAAGTAGGCAGACAGAAGGAAATTAGAATTAAAGCAAAACTCATTGAAATTGAAAGAAAAAGAAAAAATGGGTGGAACCAAAAGTTGGCTTTTTTGAAAAGATAAAATAGACTTCTTTTTTTTAAGATTTTTTTAATTTATTTGACACACAGAGAGATCACAAGTAGGCAGAGAGGCAGGAAGAGAGAGAGGGGGAAGCAGGCTCCCTGCTGAGCAGAAAGTCCGATGCGGGACTCTATCCCAGAACCCTGAGATCATGACCTGAGCTGAAGGCAGAGGCTTAACCCCCTGAGCCACCCAGGCACCCCCAAAATAGACAACCTTTAGCAAGACTGACCAAGAAGAAAAAACAAAAGACACAAATTACCAAGACTTATTCAAGAAGAAATAGAAAATCTGGATAGCCCATAATAAGTTAATAAACTAAATTATTAAAATTTTTTTCACAAAGAAAAGCCTAGGACCAGATGGCTTCAATGGGTATTTGGGAAATTTCCTTCACAAACTCTTTCAAAAAATAGAAGAGGAAGGAACACTTTCAAACTCAGTCTGTTAGACTAGTATTCTCCTTATACCAAAGCTAGATGAAAACAACAAAACTACAGATCACTGTCATTCAAGAGTATAATCAACAGGGGCACCTGGCTGGCTCAGTTGGCAGAGCATGTGACTCTTGATCTCAGGGTTGTGGGTTCAAGCCCTATGTTGGGTGTAGAGCTTACTTAAAAAAAAAAAAAAAAAGTATACACACAAAAATCCTTAACAAAATACTAGTAAACCAAATCCAGCATCAAACAAGGATTATTATATCATGACCAAGTGAGTTTATCCAAGGAATTTAAGGTTAGCTTAGAAAAATCATTTGACAAAAATCCAATATTCAGAATTAAAAACTCTCAACAAACTAGGAATAAAAGGGAACTTCTTTAACCTGATGAAGGTCATCTATGAAAAAACCTGCAGCAAATGTCATGTTTAAGACTGAATGGTTTTCCCCTAAGACTAGGAATACAGCACAGATGTATACACTTGTAATTTAGGTATTTGAGAAGAATACAGTCATATTCAGCATTATACTTAAGACTTTAACCAATGCATTCAGGTAAGAAAAAGAAACAAAAAGTACCAAGAATGAGAAAAACAAAGTAAATTGTCTTTATTCATAGAAAACATAGTTATGTGTAATAAAGAGTCCAACTCCGTTTTTGGTGTATGGCTGCTGACAGCTTAATAAGCCTCACTACTCCCTCCCCACCTTTAATACAGTTTAAGGTTCATAGTAAAATTGGACAGAAGATACAAAGATTTTGCATATACTCCCTCCCCCACTTATATGTAGTCTCCCCAACTATGAACATTTTACACCAGAGTGGGATATTAGTTATAATTGAAGGACCTACAGTGATGCATCATTATCCCCTGAAGTCCATAGTTTCCTTTAGGATTCACTCTTGGTGTACATCCTATGGGTTTGGACAAATAGGACATGTGTCCATTATTGTGGTATCATAAAGACCATTTTCATTGCCCTAAAAATCTGCTCTACCTGTGCATCCCACCTACCAACCTCTGATAACCTCTGATATTTTTTTGCTGTTTCCATAGTTTTGCATTTTCCAGAATGTTATATAATACTATATAGCTTTTTCAGATTGACTTCTTTCACTTAATAATATGCATTCAGGTTTCCTCCAGTGTCTTTTCATTAGTTGATAGCTTATTTCTTTTTAGTGCTTTTGTCTGAATGCCAGTTTATGCATTATCTACTATTACCTATGTATTTCATTGTCTGAGTGTATCAGGTTATGCATTACCAACTGAAGGACATCTTGGTTGCTTCCAAGTATTGACAGTTATGAACAAAGCTGCTATATATAAATGTCTGTGTGTAGATTTTGGTGTGAACATAAATTTGCAGCTCCTTTTTGTAAATACCAGAGAGCATGATTGCTGAATCATATGGTAAGAAACTGTCAGACTGTCTTCAAAAGTGGCTATACCATTTTGGGTTACAGCCAGCAGTGAATGAGAGTTTCTTTTGCTCCACATCCTTGCCACCATTTAGTGTTGTCAGTGTCCTAAAACCTGTTCTAATAGGTTTTTTAAAAAGTATCTTATTTTTTTTAAATGTTTTGTTTGGGGGAAAAAAAAAGATCAAATTTATTACTACCTCTGGGTAATAGAATTAAAGATAATTTTCATTCTTGTTAATTTTAAAATGTAGGAAATGAAAAAATGATAAATAGTTCTTAAATAAGAGAAATAGATCTCAGATTTTTTTTTTTAAACAATGTTACTACCTAAGACGGCATTAGTTGTATTGTACCTAGTAAGGGAGGAAAATGAATGACATCATAGATAGAGCATTCCCATGGGAAGGAAAGGGGACCTCTACACTGACCACCAGGTGGCACTGTAGGCTAAATGCCCGCTTGCTTGCAGGCCTGCCTGAGGCGTGTAGCAGTAAAGAAAGGGTGAGGCTGTGGTGGTGGGGGGAGGTATAAACTGCAGGGGTTTTTATTTGGGGAAAGCTTTTCTTGAAGAAGGAAGAAATGGAAGAGGTGGAAGTGAAGAAATTACAGATTCTTAAGAGGAGGTGGGCAAACATTGAAGAGAATGAGAAGAGATTAGACCCTAGAACAGATGGAGAAAGTAGGTTTATAAAAGGAATGTTTTCCTTTGAACCTGCAGTGTGGAAGAGATCGTGGTGGTATATTCATGTTGGGTTCAGAAAACTTACTTAGGGGTTTATGTCATTTTTATAGAAGGAAAACTTTAAAGATAGATTCTAGTGTTTAAAGACAATTTAATATCAGGGTTTTTTCTGTTTGTTTGCTTTAAAATAGCTGTCACAGGAGGTCTCTTTAGAATAAACTTGGGCCTGCATGGTCTGGTGGCTGGTGGCATAATTGGAGCCTTGCTGGGGTAAGTGTTAACACAATTTTATTCTAAATTAACACAACATTCATTAATGCCTTCCTGTTAAAAATCTCATTCATTTCTAAAGAACAGTGTTAAATCTTAAAACCTATAAAAGGTCTTCAGTCTTGTATTGGCAGTGGCTTTGACTGTCAAATTCGAATTCTACTCCAAACGGTTGATTTTACTTAGAGTAGTTACTGAGTAAAAACTGTTTATATATCACTGACACCTGAACTTACTTGTAATTTGAACAATGGTATTTGCAAGGAGCAGGAAAAAAGGAATAAGAAACAATTAACAAACATGCTCTTTAAAAAAATAAAGTTTTGTTTGGGTTTTGTTTGTTTAGTTTAATAAATTTTAAAAATTTTCGTCTTCAGCTTTTTACTTTGAGACATTTTGAACCTATAGAAAAGTTGAATGACTTAGTACATTGAACACCCGTATTTTCGTCACTTACATTCACCAGTTGTTAACATCTGCTATATTCATTTTATATCTCTCTGTATATGTGTGTAATGTGTGTACAGTTCTTTTTCTTTCTCTTTTTTTCTTTTTGGTTAAGTCTTTGGAAACCTCATAATTCCTCATCTCTGAATATATCAGCATGTATCTCCCAGGATGAAATGATGAATATTTGCCAGTGATATCACAGTATAATCATCACAATAAATAATTTAGCATTGACTCAATATAGCTATCTAAGATAGGGTCCATAGTAAAAAAATGTTTAATTATTATAATAATTTTTTTTAAACCCAGGATTCAATTGTATATCGTTTTTATGGTTTTGATTTCTTTTTTTTTTTTTTTAAGATTTTATTTATTTATTTGTCAGAGAGAGAGAGGGAGAGAGAGCAAGCACAGGCAGACAGAATGGCAGGCAGAGGCAGAGGAAGAAGCAGGATCCCTGATGAGCAAGGAGCCCGATGTGGGACTTGATCCCAGGACGCTGGGATCATGACCTGAGCCGAAGGCAGCTGCTTAACCAACTGAGCCACCCAGGCGTCCCCATGGTTTTGATTTCTTTATTTAAAAAAGAAAAGATTTATTTCTCAGAGAGTGCATACAAGTGGGAGGGGTAGAGGAAGAGGAAGAATGAAACTGAAGCAGATTCCACACGAGCACAGAGCCTGATATGGGGCTCAGTCACAGGACCCTGAGACCACAACCTGAGCTGAAACCAAGAATCCAAGGCTTAACTGACTGTGCCACCTAGGCACCCCTTGATTCCTTTAAACTAGAACAGTTCCACTGCCTTTCCCCCCACCAGAAAATTTCTCAATTTTTTTTGATTATCCCCTCAGGATTAGATTTAGGTTAAATATTTTCATCAGGAACACAATATAGGTGAAGTTGTTTCCTTTTCCGTGTATCATATCAAGAGACATTGTATCAGCGATTATAAGTGAAATTAATTTTAATAGTCATTAATTAATACCATTAAAATTGGTACGGTAGTTTTCCACTCCTGGGTGACAGATTACCACAAAATTTAGCAACTTGAAACACTACCCGTTTATCACATCACAGTTCTGTAGGTCAGAAGTCTGAGTAGGCTCAGATGGGCTCTCTCTGTTCAGGGTTTTACAAGGACAAAATCAGTGTTGTTCAGTCAGGCTTTTATTGGAGGCTCTGGGGAAGAATCTGTTCCTAAACCATTTTGGTTGTGGACAGGATCCTTGTGGCTGTAGGCCTGAAGTCATTGTACCTTGGCTGGTTGTCAGCCAGGCACCACTGTTCTAGAGACATCCCATTCCTTCTCATGGTGACCCCCCCATGTTCAAACCAGCAACCAGCATGTTGAATCCTCATACTTTGAATCTCTCTGACTTCTACTCTGCCACCAAGGAAAACTCTGCTTTTAAAGGGTTTATCCAGATAATTTACTTTTTGATTGACTCAGATTCAACTGATTACTAATCTTAATTGTATCTGTAAAATTTTCCCTTGTAATATAATCATGGGTATAATATATGTATAGTTGAGGGATTAAGGCAGGACAGTTTGGGGGGCCATTTTAGAATTCTGCCTATCACATTTGGTATCTACTAAATTCCTCCACTCTAAGGGTATCTTTTTCCCATTGTGATTAACAAATAATCTGTAGGATAAGATTGAATAGCCTGTTCTCCAGCTATCTTTTTTCTTGTGGTTTTAATGATCTATTATAATTGTTGGTGTCATCAGTTATTACAAAGATGGTTGCAAAATGATTTGTTAGTTCTGTCTTTTCTTTATTTTTGTTAGTTGGCATTTACTTGAATAGAAGAATTCTCCCTTTCCCTCTACCTATGCCCTCCCTTTTTCTATCCCCTTTTTAGGAGGAAGTAACACTGTAGATTCATGCATTCTTTTTTTAAATTCTTTTTAAAAATTCAGCATGTCATAATCCATTGCTGACATGTTTATTATATTGTGTTTTTTTGTTTGCTTTTTAGCAAACTCAACCCCCAATGTGGGGCTCGAACTCAGGACCCCAAGATCAAGAGTCACATGCTCTACTGACTGAGCCAGCGAGGCACTCCTTGTTATGCTTTTAATATACCAGCTTAGTTTGAAAGGGAAAACTGTTGAAATTAGAAGCCAAAATAATTTCTTTTTCTTTGTCATTAAAAACACATAACATAAATTTTATCATCTTAACCATTTTAAGTGTACAGTTTAGTGGTGTTGGGTATATTCACACTTTGTACAAATGATCTCTAGAACTTTTTCATCTTGCAAAACTGAAAACTCTTTACCCATTAAACATTAATTCTCCCCTCCCTTTGTCCCCCCAGCCTTTGGCAACCACCTTTCTACTTTGTTTCTATGATTTTGACTCTTTAAATACTTCATATTAATGGAATCATATAATATTTGTCCTTTTATAACTGGCTTATTTCACTTAGCATAACATCCTCAAGGTTGATCCATGTAGTGTGTGACAGGATCTTCTTTTTCAAGCCTGCATAGTGCTCCATTGTATAGACCACATTTTCTTTATCTGTCATTGGACATATGCATTTAGCAAAAATACTTTTTTGAATGAGCTTACTTACATTGCAGTCTGTGGAAATTTAAGTTATATCAGAGTCAAAAACTTCTCTTCAAGAACACAAGAACCAAACCCTCTTCTGTTATTGTAGTAAGTGTTACCTATATCAGTTTCTTGATAGTAACTATTGACATTACAGGTGAGACTGTTGTGCCAGACTTCTGAATTTGAGAATGTTTTGGTGGTTCCACCTCCAGAAGCTAGTAGTATCCTTCCTCCAACCAAAAATGCCCTCCACAGTTCCTGCCTCCTACTGGGTTCGGTACCATTCCTGGTGGTGATTTCACTTCTGAGGAATCTTCAGTATAAATCTCCTTACTAGAACTGTCATAAGTATATATTTTCCCAGTTTATCATTCATGATAAAACACAGAGCCAATTTATAGACCTGTTGTTTTTATACCAGTTAATTTTAGGATGTTGCAGTCATTGTTTTTTTCTACTGTTTAGAAGAGGAGGAAGGAAATTGCCTTAATAATTTTCTTTTCATTCAACAAGGACACTTTGTCAGAGTTCCTATACCTGTCAGAGAAGAAGTGGCTCAGTCGGTGTTGCTTATGCATTAGCAGACCTTCCCATGGTGTGTGGGCTAATGGCTCCTTTGTCCATAGCTTTCTCTGCTTCCCTCTCAGCACTCCTGTAGGAAGTCTGTTGATGGCATTTCAGAAGTTCTATGGTGAGACTGTCCAAGAGAGAACACAGAAGGATCGCAAAGCACTCCATGAGCTGAAGCTGGAAGAGAGGTAAGGAGCATGTGAAGATGAGGGTATCTGACTTTCTTAGCTATCCTGATGCTCTCTTAACCCAGCTCCTCTAAACTGCCCCTCAACTCAAAGATGAGTTTCTGGGGCACCTGGCTGGCTCAGTCAGAGGAGCACTCTTAATCTCAGGGTTGTGAGTTCAGGTCCCATGTTGGGTGTAGAGATTACTTAGAAAAATAAATAAATAAATCTCAAAGAAGTGTTTCGTTTTCTTCAACTTGTACACTATCTGGTTTTTTAATCTTTTTAGTGAAGGAATAGAAAACTGAAAGACACTAATTTTATTTTTAATCTGATGAGGGACATTCTTTAGATACATTTATTTTTAAGTTAAGATATTCCAAACCTCACTTGGTTGCATATTTTTTTCTTTTTCTATATTCTTGACTGCATAGGAAATTACTTAAAGGAAATGGACAGCAATGAATGAGTTTCACTTGGCATTATTTAAAAGGTTATATCCCACGTTACACGTGCATCTGTGAACAATACAGAGCATGTTAGGTCTCTGCGTTCAAAGATTCCACTTCTTGCTGTGGATGCACATGAATTAGGTAGTTAAAGTGGCTGTTAGTGGACTGGATGCCACTGAAGAGGAGGAAAACTTTGACCTGCCATCTAGTCACTCCTTGGGGTCCAGTTATCAGACTGAGAGTGGACTTTGTGCTGATTCTTTGTAAGATGACCATAACAGGCTGCTAGCTAGCACTCCTGGTACGAAGGATTCTCGTGGCTTGGCTTCCTGTGTACTGACGAAAGCCGCTGCTGTTTTGGTAGTTGAATAGATAAACAGACTTTTTTTTTCTTTTTTCATATTTTTACTTGAAGTTTCCATTTGTGCTAAACACACATATGCACATGGAAATTCTTAATATCTGTAGATCAGTTGTTCAGGGACTTAGGTTCTATATGAGAAAAAGCATGGATTTTGCCACCACTGAAACCTTGAAAACAAACCTTGAATCCCAACTAGGCTATTGATTAATTCTATGACCTTGGCTATTTTACTTAACTTCAAGCCCTCTTGTTTACTCAGCCATTCTGAGGGCGGAATCACACCACAATGCTCAATATACATTTGTTTCATTCACTCCTCTTCTCCAGAGTAAGAGGGTAGGTGGAATATGTAGTTATCTAAGTTGTAGGATAAAGCACTTAAAATTCTAAGTGCCAGTGTAAAATTTGATGTGGAGAATTAAAAGCATGAAAGCATTAGCTTATTTCTATTTCTAGGTCATAAGAAACTTGTTTTTTTGGTTTGGTTTGTTTTTTAAGAAAAGGAAGCTTTGAGAAAGAAGATGGAAAAGTAAGGAAAGTATATTGGTATTTGAATTTGATACAGAAAGTTGGAAAAGTATTAACGTTTTGAAAAATATGAACAGATAATAATTGTATCCCAATAAAAAAGAAGGAAACCAGAAAAATAACTGGAAAAGTTGATCAGTTATTTAGAGATGGAAAAATCTCAAGAATGGCTAAAAACAATAAACCGAATTGAATTATACTAATGAAAGATACGTTAGAAGGAAAAAGGGTCAGAAATTTATAGGATATTTATATGTCTATGATATATAAGTGATATTCCTGAGGAGTTAATACGTAGGTTTTTTTAAAAAGATTTTATTGATTTATTTGACACAGAGAGAACACAAGTAGGGGGAGCAGCAGGGAGAGGGAGAAACAGGCACCCCACTGAGCAGGGGGGCTGATGTGGAACTCAATCCCAGGACCCTGGGATCATGACCTGAGCCGAAGGCAGCTACGTAACCAACTGAGCCACCTAGGCACCCTAATTCAATACATAGTTAAAGAACTTACTCTATGCCTGCTTCTTTGCTTGAAAATAATTATAGAAAGGTCAAACAGAGTGAGAATATAAAAAATTGTTTTAGTGAGTGGAAAATGTAGAAAACTAGCTATGGAGATCTAGAAGAAGAGATGGTCAAACCTTGTAATGAAGAGTTGGGGAAAAAGTCATGGATGACCTTGATAATCACTTAAAGAAAGGAAGAAGCTAATACTAGATTTAGAAAAAGAACTGATGTGTTATTTGGAAATTGGATTTTAACTCTTTGTTAATATACGTCTATAGTGTTGTCCCATCTGACTTTTCCATATTGAATTTACCATTGTTACAGCCTTTGTGCAGTTCCTTTAACGTCTGGCAATAGAGAGGTGATGGAGTGGCAGGGGGCTCACATTAGCCCTCCCCGCCCCGCCTCTGGCCCTGAGGGCAAGAGGGCAGCCAGTTTTCAAGGCTCACACTTGAGCTGGGGGTGCTTTAGTTCTTGCATGATACCCCTGCAGGAACTCTGGAATATTTTAGGAATCAAAGCTGCTGCCACAGCAGTGTCCATTTTGGTGATGTGATAATCGTAGTCAGCCTGTGAGTGCAACAGATTAGGAGCATAGGAAGTCATTGTTTTTGACGTACAAAGAGTAATGTTTGCTCATAAGGCACAGGGAGAATGGATAAATACTATCTTTTAAAAAAAATCTGAGAACTAAAAAACAGAGCAGTACATGATATATTCTTTTCATTCTTTTATTACAGCAAAGCCAGACTACAATTTACTGAGCTCCTCCCTGAAGAAATTGAAAGTAAGTTGCAGAAAAATCAATCCAAAGATGACGTCCAGAAAATTGAAGCACTGCTAAATCTTCCTAGAAACCCTTCATCAACAAATAAACAAGACAAAGACTGAAAATGTTCTGGACTTGACTTTCATTGGTGAATTGAAAGGATCTATGTCCATTGAATGCCAATGGCTAGGCTTCTCCTTGGTCAGCCTGTTGACAGATGTAAATGCTGGCATCTCTAGTGGCAGTGACTTGCTCTTACCTTTTTTTAACCAAGAATTGAGCTTTTTTTTTTTTTTCAAGATTTTATTTATTTATTTGACAGACAGAGATCACAAGTAGGCAGAGAGACCGGCAGAGAGAGAGAGGGGAAGCAGGCTCCCCGTCGAGCAGAGAGCCTTGATGGGCTTGATCCCAGGACCCTGGGATCATGACCTGAGCCGAAGGCAGAGGCTTTAACCCGCTGAGCCACCCAGGTGCCCCAGGAATTGAGCTGTTGTATGCTTACTTTACTTACCTTTACATTTAAATACACACTTAACGTCTTTCCTGATTGATCTATATATTTGACCTTGTATCTATAGTGATCAATCAATACATAATTCTTTTCCCTGGATTTTACAACAGTAAATTTAAAATTTCCCAAGATTGGAATTGAATTCTGTAGGTTGTATGTTTATTCTTGCAGCTCTTTAGAAGAATACTCTAGAAATCACTAGGAAGAGAAAGGAAAGAACCAGGTAAGGCAGATGGTCTGTGATAAAACCCTGGTGCCTTTTAGTCCTGGAAACATCACAGGCCTAGGTGTGTAGGGTGCCTGGGTGGCTGTTGGTTGAGTATCCAATTCTTGATTTATGCTCAGGTCATGATCTCAGGGTTGTGGATTGAGCCGTGTGTGGGGCTTCGTGCTCAGTGTGGAGTCTGCTTGTCCCTCTCCTTCCCACTGTGCCCCTCCCTCCTCATGCATGCTCTCTCTCAAATAAATAAATCTTTAAAATAAAATAAAAAGAGAATTCCTATGCCATTTGAAATACAATATAAATTTAACAAACAAGAAATAGATACACATTATTTTAAAAAAGGAACCTGGCTTCGTTTCCTCTCTTAGTGTTGCTGACAAAGTGTCTATGCTATAATATGCAGAAGTTACTTAGAATAGATACACAGTCTTTATACTCAGGAGCTAGCTCCTTAAGAAGGAATCTGCAATCCTGCAGATTATAGCTTTTACTGAAAGGGGTGGGGGAGAAATGAACTGGGTTAAGTGTACTAAGGGGGAAAGACTGCTAGTGCTTTTTTGGTGTTAGATCTCTTTGTTTTTAGTTCCTATTCTGAAAATAACTGTTTTTAGGGGCCAGGTATGTGTAACTGAGTGATGTAGGGGCTGAAATTAGAGGCTCTAGAGGCAGATCGCTGGCTTAGCATCCCAGTCATGTGGCTTTGCAGCCACGTGACCTATAGCATAGCCATTTAACTTTGGTCTCAGTTTTCCCCCTCTGTCAAATGAAATCGCATCTACCTCAGAATGGGTATTAAGTGAAATGATGCATGTGGAACATAGCACGAGGCCCTGGAGCACGGGATGAGAGAGAGAACAGCAAATATTAGTAATTATAAGGCTAGAAGAACTTCTGCACAAGTATATTATTAACATGATTTACATGTTAATGCCACACTCCATAAAGCATGTTTTCCTTAATTATCTCATTCATAAACTGCTGACAAATTGGCAGTCAATCTGTTTATTGTTTTATTCACATCCACATATAGATTAAATTCTCCAACTAGAAATTAAAAAACTAGATGGTTGGTTTTAAAAATAGTTTTATTCACATCATAAAAATATCAGAATAAAAGTACAACTCTTTGAAAAAATAGTACTAATAATTTATCAAATGTAATAAGTAATGTAATATAATTTAAGTATAAATAAGCTGTCTCTTAGGTGTGTCCTCGCTTGTAACTACTTCTTGAGGTCTCCTTTTGATCATGTCTAAGGATTATTAATCTTAACTAGATATAGCAATTCCTATTTTTTTTTTGTTTGCTTTAAATTCTTGTCTTTGCTTTAAATTATTTATTTCCCTCAGTGATTTTGTTCTGAGAGTAACCATTTAAAAGTGTGCTTCAGACTCTAGCATAATCTGGTCCCATTATAGCTACCAAAATTAAATGTTTTAGACCCAGCCACATGTGAGAAACTTGGTCAATTTGCTGTCCAACGTCAGATTTTCCAGTGAGAATGTCTGATTGCTCCCACTTAAGTCAGATCCACCTTCTGGTCCACTGAGTTGTGGAAGACAACTTCAGAGAAAGAGGAGTCATGAGCAAGTAACACAGGAACAGCAGTCAGCCACTTTAGGGATCTAAGGAAGGCCTATGGAATGCTATTTTCATTACTCCGATCGATTTCTAAAGACAGCTTACTGTTAGTAATACACAATAAAAACCTATCTCATTTTAAATGAGAACTTTCTCATATTTTACAAATGAGGTTAAACTAGCATAAAGCCATTTAAAGAGATTATCAGTCCAATATGAACCAGTGGGATGTGACTCTCTAAACCAACCTATCCCTCTCCAACCTATTGCTCTGAGGTGTATAAGTCATTGATCTTACATGTCAGAGGATATTAGTTTGGGATAAATCTACTTTCTTCAGAACCTGATGGAGAAGTGGGAGAGCACAATGAAAAATGAAATATTGGTTAACACCAGTAATGTTTCCATCATCCTCACACTGGTATATGTACCAGCATACTACTCACACATTAACATCAGGTTCCTTTTTATAACAACACAAAATGCTCCAGTGTTGTATCTGATCAAGTCTAAAAAGTTGACCTGACATTGGACAAATTCTTTTTCCAGAAGCATTTTGACTGATGTGTGTATATATAAACACACCGGTTAATAGCACAGAGCCAGACTAATGGAAAAGAGCACCAGAGATAAGAAATCTGGATTCTGGCTCAGGCCTTTATCCAGGTCACCCCCTGGGCCTTGATTTCCTTGTCATTAATGAGACAAGTGTTTTCGAATGTCTCTTCCAGGCCTGAACAATTCTTTGTTTCTAAATTCTTTGACCAAGGTTACCAGAGCTACTTATGTCCCCACCATATTCCTCTGGTCACTTTTTGCAGGGCCACTGAAAGGAAGAGGCTCCTAGAGAATAATCCTAGGATAATCCTGGCCATCTGAAGAAATTCAAAGAAGAGGTCAACCTAAGATGGAGGTGGGACCTGGGGAAACAAAAAAATAAATGAATAGTTCAAACCCTGAGTTCTCAAAGGAGGAAAGCATTTAAAATTTTATATTTTATATTTTTTATCACAAAGGTGCTCCAAAGTTGAGGTGACATTAGTAGATTTTAATCTTGATGGCCAAAGAATATAAAGGGAAGTCTAAATTACGGAAGAATTTAGGACAAGTCTGACAATTTTTATTACATGAAATATCTATTAAGCACCAGCAATCGTCAAACGACCATATTTAGTGATCAAGGTAATATTTTACCTATGAGGCAAACAGATATGTGAGGTATGGTTGTTCTCCATAAGCCTACAACTTAGTAAAGAATGTAAGACATGCATATGAAAATAAACCCAGATGGAATGTGATGTGCAAGAGAGCATTGCTCTAGCAGTTCAAAGGCAGAGTTACTTGAACTGGACAAGGTGACCCCTGAGGAGACAAAACCCCCAGCTTCAACATGACCTTATCAGCCGACTGAGCAGCAACCAGCTGTTAAGGAAAGTCAGAGAAGTTCTAGGTAGTCACAGAACCGAGGTGGACATCCCGGGAAGGGCATCCCGAAGAAGGTGGAAAAAACCAGAAACAGAGACTGCTGTGGGGAAATGTGCATAGGCGTCTATGATGTTGTGAAAGGAACCTGAGCTTAATACCCAGTTTGAGTCCTGGCCCTGCTCCTTGCCTACCTGACCTTAGGCAAATCACAACCTCTGGGAGGGAGCCTTGGGATTCCCTCCTATAAAATGGAGATAAAGATCTTGCTCATAAAGATTTTTACAAGACCAAATGAAATAGGGGTGCCTGGGTGGCTCAGTCGGTTAAGCGGCTGCCTTCGTCTTGGGTGAATCAAGTCCCGCATCTGGCTCCCTACTCCAGGGGGATCTTGCTTATCCTTCTCCCTCTGCCTACTGCTTCGCCTGCTTGTATTCTCTCTCTCTGTGTGTGTCAAATAAATAAAATCTTTAAAAAAAAAAAAAACTAAATGAGATAATAAAATAATGCTTTTGTAAAACAACATATTAGAGTTAAGTCTCAGGTGGTATATTTCATCTCCTTTTATTTTTTAAAGGTAACTGCAGACTCATTTTTTATGCTTTTTCACCCTAACTTCGTAAGTCAAAAAGAAACTGTTTACAGAGTCTATAAACCACCCTGGACCTGGTATCAGTTTCTTGGATTCTAATATTTCTCTTACATGAAAAGGCCTGGGAAGTTTAGGATAACACAAAGTTGATATAAGTTAATAGTGTGACTCAGAAAAGCTGTTGCTGTGTTAGGCTTTTCTAACAGAAAGAACATTCCAGATCCCAGACAGTAATTATACCATTGTATGTAGAATTAGACCATATCTAAAGTCTTGAACTCCACTTGTTGACATCTAGTGTGTTCACTTGAAGCTTCTGGAAACTACTATGTGGAGAACAGTTCAAAGAACTGAAAATATTTATACTGAAGAGATCAATTGAAATATGGGAAGTTAAACGGCTTGATACTTTCCCTTTAGGCATTAGGGGTCTCTTCTGAGTTTTTGAGTGGGAAAATGACATGAAGAAGTGATTCTTTATAAGATTTGGCTGTGTTGCTGAGTTAGTAGGATGACTCTGTTAGAGGCAGAGAGACCAATGAGGATGTTACTGAGGGGGTCAGAGTGACCAGTAACTGACCCTAATCTGGATCCATCAGTAGTGAGGGATACAGGCGAAAAGGAATGATCAGAGTAAGCAGCTGGGCCAGGAATATTACTTCAAGGTGAACTTAAGGTACTTTACAGATAATGAAAGACACTGAGTTGACTGACAAGGGAGGGGAATAGTTCAACATGGCAGAATGGCACAGAAAAGAAAGGGGTAACAATAAGCAAGTCATATGTGAAGAGAAAGGAGAGATGCCAACCATCTGTTTAGAGTAACCTGAGTTAGGGCTTTGAGAAGGTGAGGTAGAGTTTAAATCTGGTACTGAGGAAGAAAACACTGTGCTTTGGAATCCATATATCTCATATATTCCACCCTGGAATAGGTGAACTAGAGGAGCTACCTCCAGATGTTCTGCTTATACAGATGTTTGGGCAGATCCTATGTAGATAGGTGAGATCTTTTCCATGTCCACGCCTTCCTCATTCCTCTTTTCCCATCTCCACCTTGCAGCAAGTCCTTGAAGACAAGCACAAACAATAAAGATTTAGATAGGTGAGTTTCCCCTAAATCATGCCTATATATTTCAGGAAGACTTCACTGGCTAAGAACTAGATCAGTGGCTCTTAAACCAGGGAGATTTCTAACCCAGTACCCAATACCACCTCCCCACCGCCTGCACTGGGACATCTGAAATGTAATAGAGACATTTCTGGTTGTCACAACTGGGGCAGGTGTGCTATTGGCATATAGTGAGTAGAACCTACAGAGGCTGCAAAATACATTACAATGCACCGAATGAACCTTAAAACAAAGAATGATCTGACCCCAAATGTCAGTAGTGTTAAGAATAAGAGATCCTGAACTAGAGGGGCAAGGCTGGGCAGTCTGTATCAAAAACATCCTTGAGCCCACCAAACCTCTTTACCCTACCTGTGAGTTGTTGAGTTGTTGGTTGCGAAGAGTCTTAGTGACTTCCCTGCACTTTGACAGTTTTTGAGCTGAAGTTTGGGAAAATCAGCAGATGTTGGTCTTCCAATTTTCTTTGCTAAATGTACATGATTTCTACTCCAAGAAAGGTTGGTGTTCCTTCGTAGTGACTATGACCTCAGCTCTGGCCTAGCAGTTCCTCTTCATTTAATTATAGAGATGGAGTGTAGCATATATATAAGGCCAAAAATTTAAACTCATAGGGAAAAACATCCTAGATATCTCTTCTTTCCTCAGCCACTCCTTATCTTTCAATCAAAATGTATTCAAAGGGATTGAGAATTGGTAAAAATCACTAGTGGTCATCTAATTTCTCAGTGTCATTAGTGCATCTTACCCTCCTTCAAGAAAATGATTCTTAACCCCACATCTTGTCATTCTGACTTTCCTCCTCTTGAAAATCAAAGATTAAGAATATCACTTTGCATCAGAAATGTTTTCAAATTAGTTAGCATGCATCAGTGTCTCCAAGAAAATATAAAGTTAGGGGAAAAAATAAATGGACTAAACTAGAATGTGTCTTGAGGGCAATGATTCCTCATGTTTATAACTCCAGTGCCTAGTAGAGAACCAGACACATAGTAGGTGTCCAAGAAATGTCTGTCCAGTGAATGAATAGAACCTGGTGAGACCAGTAAAGAAGACACTAAGGTTTCCATAAAATGAGAAGAGGCTATAATCTAGGCTAAAACCTCAGAGAGTTGCTGACATACACTGTTAGAGTTTGGGCTTCCAGGAATTGAGGTCAAAATGATAGTACAATAGTACTTACTGTAGGTTAGGCAGCTTCCTATAACGGCAATGATCGCAATAATCCCACTTACTACTGAGATTAAGATGACCCAGAGCTGGACTGGATTATCAGTACGGGGTGGCTCAACTGTGGAGGGAAAAGAATAGTGTGAACTCTAATGTGTTTCCAGCTGCTGAATTCTATGCCTCATATCTACACAACTAAAAAGAGTATTTTTCACTTCTTTCTCTGCTTAGCTCTCCACTAAGCATAACTCTTTTTTTTTTCTTGCATAACTCTTTAATCAGACACATATTTGTGGGCAACTAATATCCAGATATCAAGTATCAAATGTGAAAAAGAAATTTTGAACTTTTGTATTTACTGAATTAAGTTGGCATAAAAAAGATTCTTAGGAGATACTAAGGGCACCTGGGTGGCTCAGTCAGTTAAGCAGCAGGCTCTTGGTTTTGGCTCAGGTCATGATGTGGGGGTCCTGGGATTGGCCCCACATGGGCCTCTGTGCTCGGCAGGGAGTCTACTTGAGAATTCGCTCTCCATCTCCCTCTGCCCCTCCCCTAGCTCATGCATATACTCTCTAAAATAAAAATAAAATAAAAATGAGAAATAAATCTTTAAAAAATTAAAAAGTGATCTTGTCTTTATATCTCATTTTCATTTTTTTCACCTTTTTTTTTAAATAAACATATAATGCATTATTAGCCCCAGGGGTACAGGTCTGTGAATCACCAGGTTTACACACTTCACAGCACTCACCATAGCACATACCCTCCCCAATGTCCATAACCCCACCACCCTCTCCCTACCCCCCTACCCCTGGCAACCCTCAGTTTGTTTTGTGAGATTAAGAGTCTCTTATGGTTTGTCTATATCTCATTTTTAGAACTGATATTTCTATGTATTACTAATAATTAGTTGACATAGAGTTCTAGATATACCTTATTTTTCTCTCTCTAGATCTGTCACGCCTTTTCCCTTTGTCTCATCCACATCCAAGTTTTAGAATACCACTTGATTTCTAAATCTGTATATCATATTTTTGATCTCACTTTTTTCCTTACAGCACACGCATTTTATTTAAAATGCAAATTTTAATTATAGATTCATTTACTTTAAATATTGCACAGGCATTGTCACAGAGAAACTACTGGGTTCTTTGTTTATTTTTCAGTTCTAATTAGTTGACATACAGTTCAACATTGGTTTTGGGAGTAGAGTTCAGTGGTTCATCATTTACATATAACACCCAGTGCTTATCATAACAAATGCTCTCCTTAATATGCAGCACCCATCTAGCCCATCCCGCACCCTCTTCCCTCCATCAACCCTCAGTTTGTTCTCCATAGTTGAGTCTCTCATGATTTGTTTTCCTTTCTCTCTCTGCCCCCCATATGTCCATCCATTTTGTTCTTTAAATTCCACATATGAGTGAAATCATATGGTATTTGTCTTTCTCTGATTGACTTATTTCACTTAGCATAATGCATTCTAGCTCCATCCATGTTGTTGCAAATGGCAAAATTTCATTCTTTTTGATAGCTGAGTAGTATTCTACTATATATACGTATATGTACACCATATATTCTTTATTCACTTAATCAGTGGATGGCCATTTGGGCTGTTTCCATAGTTTTGTTATTGTTGATAATGTTGCTATAAACCTCAGGATACATGTACTCCTTAGCATGTGTATTTGTGTATCCTTTGGGTAAATACCTAGCAGTGTAATTGCTAGTAGTTTTATTTTTAGCTTTTTGAAGACCCACATGCTGTTCTCCAGTGTGGCTGCACTAGTTTGCATTCCCACCAACAGTGCAAGAGGGTTCCCCTTTCTCTGCATCCTCACCAATACCTGTAGTCCTCCTGTGTTTCTGAACTCCAGATTTGAATTTCCAGCTGCCAGCTACATGGCTGGATGCCACCATTTCTACCTGATTTAAACTGAACTCACTGTAATCTTTCCAAAGAATATGTTCCAACCATATTCTCCCATTTCAGTGAATAGCAAAACCATAGTTACCGAATAAGAGTGAAGCCTTCTTTTTGTGCTCACTTCCCAGTAAGTTCCCATCGACTTTCCATTCTGTATTCAGGATACCTTTGCAGTTGGTTCCTTTTCCCAAAACCTCATGCAGCAACTGCCTTCGTTCAGGTTTCTCTTCTCCCCACCTAGTCGTCTCCATACTGATCCCTTTGCCTCTGGTTCCCTAGGCTCTAATAATTCCTACACATTCTGCCATAGTGATTATTCTAAAATGCACATTTGACTTTAGTGCACCTACCAGTTAGAGACTGGGGAAAGTTGGTTTTCCTTTTTTTTTTTTTCTTTTCCTCTAAACCTCCAAATTGCGTGAAGATGAGTGATTACCAGAATGACAGCCCAGAATGACAGGGAGGCTTTTCCTATTATCCTGGGAATCTAAAAGTTCCACAGGTTCTGACTCACTCCTGGCTTCCTCTCAGAGGCCACTCTTCACCCATCCTCAAGCCTCATTCAGCCTAGAAAGAGGATGTACGTTTGAGAAAAAGAAGGGGGAACTAGTAGTGGCAAACTAGCTCTGTGGTGATGCCCAGTAGGAACCTAGTAATTCACCATAGAGCAGACTTAGAATCCTAATTACAGAGGTAGGCGTGGACATTGGCACATACAGCTTGTTAGCTACACCATGAGTCAGACTCCCTGATTTACCTCCTTCCACGCACATGTGCCTTCCAGTATATTAAGGGTTAACCAATTTGGCAGGCCCAGACTAAAAGAATCATGGATCCAAACGGTTTAATTAATAAATTTGGGGATTTTTTTTAGCATGGCTATTTACATAAAGCTTTATATAAACATATTTTTAAAAGACTTTATTGATTTATTTTAGAGAGCGTGAGTAGGGGGAGGGGCAGAGGGAGAGACTGAGAGAATCTTAAGCAGGCTCCGCACTCAGCATGGAGCCTGACGTGGGGCTTGATCTCTTGACCCTGGGCTCATGACCTGAACTAAAATCAAGAGTCAAATGCTTAACTGACTGAGTAAATATTTTTACATTAATATATTTATATAAAGCTTTACATAAATATGTTTACATAAAATAAATCATAAAAATATTTATGTAAAGCTTTGCTCACATCGACTTGTAACATTTTTATGAACTGTACACCTAATTTTTGTTTGTTTATGCAGTCAGCCCTTGACCACCCACAAATGCATCATTTGCTTTAGACTCTAAGTGATGTCTGCAGTTCAGGTGTACCTCATTGGCTCAGTCAGTTAAGCATCTGACTCTTGATTTCAGCTCAAGTCATGATCACAGGGTCATGATATATGAGATCCAGCCCTGTGTAGTGCTCTGTTTCCTGTAAGTTAGCAAACTACAGTACACAGGCCAAACCTGGCCTACTGTCTCTTCTTTAAAATAAAATTTTGCTGGAACACAGCCATATCCTTCATTTATGTCTTGTTTATGGCAGCTTCCATGCTATAACAGCAAAACTGAGTTGTTGCCAATGATCATCTGACCTACAAAGACTAAAACATTTACTATCTGGCCCTTTTCTGAAAATATTTGTCAGTTCCTGTCCTAAAATATTATATACACTTATATTCCAAATATAATGTCCAAAATAAGGTGATTGAATCTGCTATAACAGTGTGCTGATCCCTACCTTAGTCACAGCAATCTAAAATTGATTAAATAATGATGTATTAATAAAGTGAAAAGTAAAGCTGAATTAATAAACTATATGCTTCAAACCTCACTTTTATAAAATTTTTAGAACACATAAAAGATGACTGAAAGAAATGAATTTGGACTATTAATAAAATCATATGAAATTTTTGTTTGTATTTGAACTACTATCCTCGGGAAATTTTATCTCATTACCTACTGAAGAAAATAATGAACCAGTCCACTTCAAGATGGAAAGACCTGAGTAAATCATTCACTAGAAAGAGCTACTAGACCATGTAAAATATCTCCTCTACTCAAATAAAGATAAGAGGAAGACATATATACTATATATCCATGTGCCACTATATATCAAATTCAGTGTATTGTATATTACAGTACAGCCACAAAATGCGTTAAGAGTGGGCCAGGGGTGGGAGGGAGGCCTCGTGGTCTTCCATAAAATCAACCATATAAGTAAGACACTTATTTTAAGTATCTGAGTTCTGTAATAACCTATTATGGGTTTAACATGCATAAATTTATATAAGCCCAATTTATTCCATTTTACATTTTCAAATGACTTCACCTCTTGGGAACAGAAAACTCTGTAAGTTTACTAGCTGAAGGGTAAGGTATTTGAAGGTGATCGTATCTGGGCAAAAATGACCTCTATTTCCAGGCATTATCCTCAAGTAGTTTGTCATTGGCCTTCTTTACCAGACTTAGTTGTGAATGAACCAGTGGTTCTTAAAAGGCACATTCACTCACGAAAGGCAATGATTTGATGCCATGGGACAATGGGAAGGAGGTGCCCCCAAAAAAGAAAGTACCAAAGCCCCAAGGACAAGTCCAAAGAAGGACAAATTTTAGTGCTTAATATCAACAATATTGTTAAAATAACTTCCGAAGATGAGTACTTGATGGAGAGCACTTATTTGAATGTCTCAATTTTAGAAAGTTTATTAAAGAAAATAAAATTAATCTAGTAACACTATGCTTGCACCTTGTACAGTGACCTTAACAAGTCACAATATCACTTCATTATCATTTGTGGGTCCAAAAATACAAGAAATGCTATCAAAGTCAATATACACAATTCTAAAATGGATCTGGCTGAATTGCCTTCTTTTCAGAATTTACACTGTTAGAAACTCCCCAGCACAATGTTACGTACATTTTTGCCAGTTGAAGATCTGAGATACTGTTAAGTCTCCATACTTGACAAGACACACAAAGCTATGGTTGTTGGTTATATTGAAATCGAGTTCACTGCTAATAGTGTAGAGCTCAGTTTCAGGATCTTGGGAAACTGTTGTGTTGATTGCATTTAATTCTTCTTCATGTTCCAACCAGGAGAGGTGAGGCTTTGGAAAACCTCCAGAGGTTGAACACATTATCCTTCTGATGTTACGTGATGGAGTTCCAAGGTCAGTTATAGTAGGGACAGGGAAGTCAGCTGAAGAAAGAAAAAAGATGTAAGTACATATCATTTTGTATTGGGGCAGTGGGGGGTATGTGAGGTTTTTTTTTTAAATAAATTATCTAGCTTTAATAAGAATTATAAAATGAGCTACAACTTGTAACTTCCCATAAATCATTAATAGTTATGTATGACCCAAAGATCAACTTTGGTTTGAATTGGGTGTATCAATTCTTCATTACTTTTTTTTTTTAAGATTTTTATTTATTTAAGTAATCTCTACACCTCACGGCCCCTGAGATCAGGAGTCACATGCTCTTCCAACTGAGCCAGCCAGACACCCCAATTCTTGATCACTTTTGATGGAAGTAAGAGGACACTTATACAAAGAAATAGATCTATGTGAATAAATACTGACATCATATTTTGCATTTATAAGATACGAAGAGAAAAATAATAGACAACATTTACTGAGCTCTTAATGCTTGTTGGGTCTTGGATACTACCTCATTTCATCTCTACAACAACCCTACAAGGCAGGGGTATGTCAAGAAAGATCAAATGTCAGCAATATCATTTGATTTAACCTAATATGATTTCCATTTTGTAAATAATCAAATCGAAGTTGAGAGATCATGAGTAAGGGGCAAAATTGGGATGTGAATTCTAGTTTTTCCAATACCAGACCCTTTTCTTTCCTCTCTTCTCTTCCCTTGCCTGCTTTTCTTTTCCTTTCCATTCCTGCCTTTCTTTTCTTCCCTTCCCAATATTTGAGATACACAAAGTGGCTCTCTTATTTATCTATTTATGAACTAATACTATAAAAAACACCTGTGAACCCACCATCCAGCTTGAGAGCCAGTGCTTTGACTGTAACTGACGTAAATCTACTCGTATGCTCTCACCTTTGTTGTCTCCCCACTTCCCACACTTGAGATAACCATTACTCCAAATTTTCTTTAACATGCCCTTACTAAATTTTCAAAAGTAGCCTTTAATAAGATAAACTTCTGTCCAAATTGTACAATACTGAGCCTGTAATCTCAACCACTCTACTTTACTGACTCCCTTGCTATTTTGATATGCATCACAAGGCCACAGGGGCCTTCCTAGCATTCCTCCAAGATATTTGAGGCACTCTTGCATTTGTATATTTGACCCCCAATAAGATACTAAAGTATATACAAAGCAAAGCATAGTGAAATGACTGCAGAGAGCACATGAGAAAATTCCCTAACCCACTTTCTTCCTTTTTCTTAGGCCTAAAGAAATGTGTAGTTCTCAGCCTGAGTGTGGGGGACCAAGGCCCGCATACTTCATCCCATACAGTTAGATTTCTTTTCACAATTCGGAGTTCCACAGAGAGACGTAGTATAGCCTAACGTAGTGTAGCCTTTTTTTTTTTTAAGAGTTTATTTAGAAAGCATCATAGTGTAAACAAATTATACCACTTGGATTTTCTTTTAACACAAGATGTATGATGCAAAGCGGAAGCCACTCATGAGGATTGTGCTTCTCGAAAGTTGGGTTTTTTAAAAGACCATTTGGGAACCATACATACATAATTAACAAAGATTTCCTTTAAGGCACAGGCTGGCCAAGATCCAACAGCTGGTTTAAAAGTCAGTTTTGCCTTTAAGCCCTGGGGCCAATTACTTCACTACTTTCGGTTTTAGTTTGTTCATCTGTAAGATGGGGTAGTAATACTGGCCTTCCAGGGTTCTAAAAATTAAATGACATCATTGATATAAATCATGAAGCACAAGGCCTGACACATAGCAAATCAGTTAGTAGATGGACTTCTGTGAGTCTTAAATTTGTGCTCTCTTAAATGAGCTCCCTCATTTAAATCAAGTTGCCCTATGAAAACTTCCAAAACCACCCAGTAGTACTATGACTAATAAGAGAAAGGGGAAGTTATGGCAAGTGATTATAACTGCCAGGAAAAGGAAAAACTTGAGTTTGGTAGGAGGTGAAGTCATCTTTTTTGCACCAACCCTGTCTCTAAATTAAGTCTGACATTTTCCTGAGCCATTTTTAGTTGACATTTCCTACTCCTGCAATTTGTCTTATAAGATCAAATCATTATAATAGTAGCTGACATCAAGAATATTCCCTTTGTAGGGTGCCTGGCTAGCTCAGTCAGCAGAGCATGCATCTCCTGATCTCAGAGTTGTAAGTTCGAAGCCCACAAAATAAAATCTAAAAAAAAAAAAAAAAAAAAAACAACGAATATTTCCTTTATTTCTTACAACATCAATGTTATATATTATAACCTGGAATGACAAATCCAAGTAACCCATATCCCAAATTATGATTCATCTTCATTTCTGTGCTCTGCTTTTCCGAGACATACTTAACTTCAAGAATACTGAAAATATTCTGTATATTAGAAAGCATCTTTGCAAGGTCTGGCTAGACTTTGCACAGCCTCAGCTGTCTCCTATCCCTTCAGTGAGGTGATCCATCTCAAGTAACAGCACCTATGGCCTTGCAAGATTGTGAACCATCAAAGAATTACTCTTTTGTATCTCGTTTTAATACATTAACCCATATTGTTATAATTCTGAATGGGTAGGGTAAAAATATCTTATTAGGAAAGGAAGAGGTGCACAGGTGTTAGAAAGGTAAACATCTGTTATCCTATTTAATCTGTTAGCTAGCATATCTAGCTCCCCAAATGCTGTTTAATGGAGGCTTTTAGACACTGTGATGCTGATATTATATCATGTTGCAATCTTAGGCGAATGTAGAGACCAGCTTTTTCAGTGTCTAACCTGGGGAAGTCTCAGGTGTTTGAAGAAACCTCTCAGTCCCAGGCAAAATGGGATAGCTGGTCATCCTTGTCAAGTAAGGGATTATTTAATGTCTTGGTTTCTCAAACTGTGTATCCTCAGCAGCCATAAGTACGGACATCACCTCATGATTTGTTAGTGCAGAATCAAAGATCCTTTATTCCACACCTACTGAACCTGAATCTGCATTTCAACAAGATCTTAGTGATTCATAGGGACCTTAATGTAAGAGAAACACTGTTGTAACTGATGCAGATGGAAAAATCAGAATTAATTGATTCTGAGTCAAATGAAAAGTTTCCCTTTTTGTCTTTGCACATCTGACTTTTGGGCCTGCCCCTCCCAGCCCTTTTGAGGCCCCCAGCACTCTTGTTGCCTTTTGAGCTGTCCCTGGTCTCCTGCTGTGGTCTGCTACTAGGGCTTGTCCTTCCTGAAACTCTGCCTCTTCTTCCAGCCTTTATTTTTCTATCAAAATGTACATAATCCTGCCTCTACTTCTGTTTGGGCATTCTCTTTGAGGACTGCCTATATCTAATGTAATTACCTACTACAGGTTCATATGTTCATGGTGCCACCGCCCCCAGGTAACACATTTTCATTTTTAACTGAGATTTTATAGACAATGCCGAAACTGGCAGGAGAAGCAAAAATGGTGGGAATTCTAGGGATCAGTGTAGGTCAGCACTTTATAAGACGCCGGGCTTGGTAGAACCCTTAAAATCACACCACCATATAATCATGGCTCTCTTCGTGAGTAGGGAATACACAGAGGGAGGGTCAAGGTAATCCCATGCAACCGGCTTACCTCCTAAGCTTTAGGTGTGATCTGGATGCTAAAGTGAAAGAGTCAACATAGCTGGAGAACAGGGAGGGAAGAGTAGCGAAGAGTTCACCAAGGATCCACTTACATTATCTGTTATCAAGGTGAATGATTATCTTTTATTAAGTGATAGGTTCAGTTTCCACTAAAGGCCCCAGTGTCCAGGAAGAAAAAGAAATGTGGTTAATTTCAAGTATGGGGGAAAGTTCAAGGGCTATCATTTCTCAGCAAGGGGCTCAGGCTACATTAGTATCCTCTAGTACCATCACCTGTGATTAACGCAAGGTTCCTTCCTACCCAAGAAATGCTTGCCTTCACGGTTAGATGTATAAGTTGAGTTTTGATTTATGAATTAATTTTCTTCCCCGTTAAATAAATTATGCATCTAGTCCTCTAATGTCTAACTTTGTAGGAATACCCATTAGATGAGCGGTTCAAATCCAATAATAAATATAAATCATAAAATAGCTATAGGCATTTGAATATTACTTGAAAAATATCTCCGTCTGCATTGTTCTTATACCTTTCAATATACTTTCACAAGAATATATTACTGTTTCAAGTGCAGTTAACCGTTCAGCTACATCAAATCAAGTGTGTCCCCTTATGATTCAGAAGGCACTTTAGGTCATTCTAGTGCCCCAGGATGACTGTCATGAATTTGGACTGTCAAAATGCCAGAAACTCACACTAATAGATACTTCCAGGATGTCTTGAAAATCAATTAGGGTTTATTGTAAAACTACAGACTTACTTAACCCTAAATGAAGATACATCCCTCTTCTGTAAAATGTTCAACTAAATTAATAGGAGTGTATCTTTAAGGGCATCAAGAGTCTGCCAGGTTATAGGAAATCAGAAAAATCCCACTGACCTCTGACCAATAACATCACTGAAGTCATGTGTTGCACTTTGTAAGACCCTTTTTCGGGCTTTTGAACGATGCAGGTGTATTTGCCATTGTCTGACAGGCGCAGAGCCAGGATCACAATGGAGAGGTTCTTGGTGAAGTCAGTGAAGGTGCGATTCTTATACTTGGGCCACACTTGCTGTTTTCCAGACATGATGGCCACGACCATTTCATCATCCTTTTGCCAATAGATTCGAACTTCTGTCAGTTCTTCAGTGGAAATGTTGTAATTACAAGATAGTACTGCTACTTCTTTCACCGTCTTGTTCACCTGGATGATGCCTAAGGAGAGGCAAACAGAAAGGATTTTCTATCTATTAAATACAGCCACTTGCAGAAGCAGGAATTCCAAGTCGGCAAAAACAAACTCAGGGTGTTGTATCTAGTGACTGCGCGTGATCAGAGAGTTCAGTTTGATTTTGATACTTCTGGTTTCCAGTGCTTTTTTCTCTCTTTTCTAAATTGTGGTTAAAAAATGTAAAATATACCATCTTAACCGTATTTAAGTGTACAGTTCAGTAGTGTTAAGTATATTCACATTGTTAGGAAACAGATCTCCAGAACTTTTCATCTCACAAATCTGGAATGCTGTATGCATTACGCAACTCTCCTTTCTTTATCCCCCCAGGCCCTTGGTAACCACCACTTAATGTTCTGTTTCTGTGAGTCTGACTATTTTAGTTACTGCATATAACTGGAATCATACAGTGTTTTCTTCTTGTGAGGGTCTTATTTCACTTAGCATGGTGTCCTCAAGGTTCATCCATGTTTTAGCATGTGCCAGAATCTCCTTCCTTTTTAAGGAATAGTAAGATAATGATAATGATATCCCATTGTATGTATATACCACATTTTCTTTTCAATTCATCCATCAGTGGACAATGAGAGAGAAGGTCCACTAGTCCCACAAGAAGGAGGACTTTAGGAGACCGGGCAGATGAATGTCAACTATGGGTACACAATGTACTCAGCCCAATGGGGATATGGGAATCACTGGAATATGAGATCTTGAAGGGACTTCCATGTTCATTCATTTTTGTGTTCTTATTTATAGAGGATGAAACTAAGCCCAGGAAAGGAAGCTGTCCCAGCTCTACAGTTTCTGGTGCAAACCTTTCAAGCCACCCACTCTCCTTGTTCACTGGTTTCCCCAATTTTAGGCTCCAGTTACAGGATAAGTAGACTAACACTGCCCACACCCCAGCTGGACCTGACTATTGAGCTCTTTTGCTTTGAGAAACAGTCCTTTTCTTTCCAGGCCTGGACTGGCCTCATAACCTCAGGTTGAATTGGCTCCTCAACCTCCCCACCAGACAAGGTGTAGTTTACACCTCCAGACTATTTCTCTTCAGTGACCCTAAATTATCCCTATCTGGTCCTGATCTCTTTCAGCTATCTGCCATCCATGCAACAGTTGCCCTATAAGACGGTCCCCACTTAAAACATTCTGCCCACTTTCCCATCAGTGTATTCCAGGATTACCAACATTTCAGTAATCAAGCTCCGTCTTTTTGTTAGCTCCTAAGCATTTATCAGTGGCACCAAATTTCCCTGTCAGGCTGTGTTTTCCGATTTTTTGGGTCATTCTTCCTTTGCTAGGCCTGACTTACAAGCAGATCCCCCAAGCCCCCAAGCCCAAGCTCTTTCACAACTCGCCACCACCTTCCCCACCCAATGCTATGATGCCCTGTATCTCCCAGAGCCATACAGCCTTCCCTGGGGGGAGGGGGTGCTATCTAGGGATCAAGTCTCCAGTCCCTCTCTCTCCTCAGACAGCAGGATCATGAGCACTAGCACCTCTCTATCTCAACAGCCACTCTTCAGGCCTTCATCAGACTGGATATGGGCCCCACACAGTGTGAGGAAGTGATTTCTGTGATGGCAGGTATCTTCATAGCAGGGTGAAGGAACTCAGAATGATCTAAGGGACCCCTTTTGGCAATTGTGCTGAACACTGCCAACCCCAGCTTTAAGGAACAGATCTGGAAAAGGGGGAAGAAATGAAAAGATATATTTGAGGGGAGCATATAATAGCTAAATAACCTGAGTTCTCTTTAAAAAGATAGAGCAGAAGCAAACTGATAGGCGTAAGGGGCATGAACTATGGGTTTCTATTGACTTGGATTCTAGCCCCAGCTCAGCCACCTGCTAATAAATCCATTTCCTCATCTGTAAATAGGGTATGATACCAACCTCCCAGGATCATTATAAAATTAAATTCCATTAAATGATATACATGGAACAGTCCCTATTACAAAGCAAGTTTTCTGTAAGACTTTCCTCCCTTTCCCGACTCCTGCTCCCAACTTCTACCCGCTGGTCCTTCCATTGCACCCAGGGATTTTGTCAGGGACTCAGGACTCTGGTCTTGCTACGGGCCAGACAGATACCATGACAGAAAGCAGCTCATTCATCCGGGAATCCAAAGAGAATCCTTATGATCTATTTGTTCCCATCCGAAAAGACTCCAGGATTTCTAACCAAGTTTGACATGTGGTGGCATTAGCAAAAGAGGAATCTGAACCGAAAACGAGCTACTTTCAATGATGACTCTTAAGGAGTTTTTGTCCAGCCATCTGAGGAGAAGTGTGGGTGTCCCTCTAAAGGTCAGTAACCATCAATGAGATCCTTAATGTTCCTGTGTGAAATCCTCTCACCACACACTCATGCTGAAGAAGAACCAGACTGAAAAGAGGAACCAAAAATCTTCTGAGCAATTTGGAAATTCCACCAGGACCTGGCTTCCAGACTCGGGCCTGCTGCATGCAGACAATTGAGAGGTCTCTGAAGTGTTTTGTCTGCCTCAGTGGCTTTGGAGGGAAGAGTCAGGTCCCTGAATTCTGAACATTACTGCCTGAAACCTAGTTGAACTTTGGACCTTATTTACCATTTTACAGATGGGCAGAGCAACACTTAACCTAGCAAGGTGGGCATGAGGATTCTGTGAGGTCACGCACACGGGACGCCTCTGCAGTCCCTGGCACAGGCCAGGTACAGGCGGCTTCCCCAGACATCCGTATGCCCAGTTCCTTGCTTCCCTCGGGTTTCTACTCTGGTCCCCCTTTGTCAGAGATCCCTTCTCCGACTCTCCCTAACCAGCACCCTCCTCCCAGACCCCCCATCCATCCTGCTGCTCATTAGTCCCTTGCCCTGATTTATTTCTCTTCAAGCTTGTCTCTGGCAACCATTACTTTTGAGGCTACCGGAGCGGGGGCTTTATCTATTTAGTTCATTGCTATATCTGCAGAATCTAGGACAGGGACTTGCCCATAGTAGGTGCTCAATAAATATTTGCTGAATGCATGGCTATGCATTAGGTGATGAGATCTGCCTCCATCCACTGCACATTAGAATCATAACCCTGAACAAGGTTGTGATTGTTCCTTGGGAATTTCTGCAAAACAGGCATAATATATTCTCCCCTAAAATTTCACGTAATTATCATGGGGATTGTATGATACTCAGATGTAAAAGTGCTTAGTTAAGTATAAAACATTATATAGATTCTTAAATGGGGCTGTTCCTGTCATTCATAGCACGTGATTTGTTGAATCACACCTAGGACAGGCCAGAATCACTGTGGTAACTGGCTGACATCTGGATTGAACCAGGTATCTGGAACTGGGCTGAAAATCTTAAGTCCCCATGTGCTATGATGTATGTTATCTCACTGGGATTTAAGTGTGCTTTTTATTTGTATTATTTTTTTTTTTAAAGATTTTATTTATTTATTTGACAGAGAGAGATACAGTGAGACAGGGAACACAAGCAGGGGGAGTGGGAGAGGGAGAAACAAGCTTCCTGCTGAGCAGGGAGCCAGATATAGGGCTCCATCCCAGGACCCCTTAATCATGACCTGAGCTGAAGGCAGACGTTTAATGACTGAGCCACCCAGGTGCCCCTTAAGTCTGCTTTTTAAATAAAGGTGTTCTTGGGACACCTGGTTGACTCAGTCAGTTAAGCATCCGCCTTCGGCTCGGGTCATGATCTCAGGGTCCTGGGATCTCCCTGCATTGGGCTCCCTGCTCAGTGGGGAGTCTGCTTCTCCCTCTGCCCTCCAGCGCCCCCCCACAACTTGTGCTCTCTCTCACGCGTACATGCTCTCGCGCGCGCACGTGCTCTCTCTCTCTCTCTCTCAAATAAATAAATAAAAATATTTTTTAAAATACTAAAAATAAAGAAAGAAAGAAAGGAAGAAAGAAAGAAATAAAGAAAGAAAGAAAGATGTTTCCTGACTCTAAAGGAGACACACATTAAATTTATAGAAAGAACGGTAAATACAGAAAAGGGTAAAAGTCATCTATAATCCCACCATCTAGACATTTACTGCTAATGGTCTGTGTATATCCTTCCAAAGGCAGTGATCCCTTGGGACACCACTAAGTGCTCTTTGTGAGGTGAACCAGCACCCCTGGGGCTTGTGTCGGACTTGGGCTTGGTGCTGGGCACACAAGGAGGGTAAGTATCTGCTCTCCAGCCGCTGACAGATTTGAGACCTGCCGCCTGATTTTTGCATCGCTCCCGACTTTCTCTCCTCTTGAGACCCAGCCTGTATGCTCTGTATAAATCTGGCCCTTTGCGTTTCCAAATGGTACTTAAATCTTTAAAAAGCTCAGGGACTTTGAATATCGGAGTTGTCCCAGCAAGAACCGAGGCTCATAGGAGCCCTTGGCTGGCAGCGTTCAGATAGTATGTGACGATGGAAAGAGTCTCTGTGGCACTCTGAGGGCATTCTTTTCCCTCTGGCTCTGTCTTCCTCATGCCATAGACTTAGAGGCAACACCTTTCCTGTGTCCCTGGCCCACTCCTACCAAAAGCCTCTCCCCTCCTCTTGGAGCTGTGCTTCCCTGAAAACACCCCACCTCTGAGAGAAAGCTGCCCCTTATCGGCGCCTGTGAGAGCTACCCTGTTAGACCCTCTGCCTTATAACTGCCAGTTTCCAGAGTCCAGGAGTCTAGTGTTTTGCTCCATGGACCCAACCAGGAATGGAGAGGAGTTCAGGCAGCCCCTCTCTTCTTAGGACAAAGTGGTCCCCTGTTCTGGGCAGCAATGGCAGGCCGGGGATAGGTAGTAGTCCCGCTTCCCGGCCTGGAGCAGAGGAGGAGGGTGTGTGGCAAATCCCTTTCCCTGAAGCCAAGCCCCCACCATACTACATCACACATACTCTCCAATCCCCTCACCCCTGACTCCAGTCTCCTCATCAAAGCTCTCCGACGCAGCCTCCTGACAGGTTTTACACCATCACTCTGGCAGCCCTACAAGCCATCTGAATGCTTTAGCAACACTTCTTTTTTAAAACATCATTTCAGAGATTTACCACCCAAACTGAAGGTCTGTTGCCCAACAGCATCAGCATCACCGGAGTCCTTGTTCAAAACACAGAACCTTAGGCCCCTCCCTGGCCCCCCTCAGCAGAAACTGTATTTTCCAAAAAATATACAGACTTTATTTTAGAGCATTTTCGGTTCACAGCAAAATGAATGTAAAGTACAGAGCGGTCCCATATACTCCATCCCCTGCAGCCACACAGCCTCCCCTACCATCCACATCCTATGCCAGAGGGTACATTTGTGACGATCAAGGAATCTACATTAACCCCTCATTACCACCCAGAGTCTGCCGTTTCCTTTAGGCATCATTCTTGACACTATACATTCAATGGGTTTTCACAAAGGTAAAATGACATCTGTCTACCCTTACAGTATCATATGGAGTTTTTTCACTGCCCTGAAAATCCCTTATGCTAGAAACTGCTTTGGACAAGGTCCCCCGGGTGATTGGTACAGACCACGTCCCTCCTTAAAACCCTTCTGTGGCTTCCCAGTTTCTCCAAATCACATTCAGATTCCTGCCCATGACCTTCGAGCCTTATGGAGTCTGGTACCTGCCTGGGCCTGTCCCAACATGCTATCTCCTCTTCCTTGCTCCTCTGCTTCTTTCACATGCTGCTTTTCTGCCTTCACCCGCTCACTCTTACCACTCTCCCCTCTGGCAGAGAGGTTGGCTGTGTGTACACTCATTTGAGGGGTTCTTTGATGGATTGTCACATTCTTCCTACTGACTGTAAAGTCCATGAAGGCAAAAGTCATGTCAATCTTGCTCACAACTTGTCCCCAGGACCACAAAAGGATCCTACACAGAGGAGACGTTCAATATTTGTTGAATTAAGAGATGAGTACACAGAAGAAAGAACATTTGCGCCAGACTCTTCCTTACTTTTGTGCCATTGTCTGCTCTGTGGCCCCACCCAGAATTCTCTGTCACTGGGCCTTGGCCATAGAGCCATAAAGCCCACCCAGCCACCCCAGACACCCTGGTCCCACCTTTCCCAGGTCTCAGGCTTTTAGAATCAGGACCAAGCCCTTCGCTGCTCTGCATTAGCTTGGGGGTTAGTTGTGCCTTCTTCAACTAACATACTCAAATCTCTCAGGGGGCAGGAATCCCAGATGTAGTTTTTGAGTGCATCACAGGTGTTCGCACATAAGATGCCCAGGAATTTATTTGTTGACCTGGTACCACAAAAGTAAAGTCTGAATGTAGCTCTAGGACAAAGCGCTTTCCTAAATACTTTTCTTTAGCTTGAAGATCATCTCTTTCCACTTGCCTCTAATTTCCCTGGTATAATTGCTAAAACCCCGGTTTTAATTTTGTATTTTCTTTCTCTTTTTCATTGGTTCCCCAGCCCCTCGCCCACATACACACACACACACACACACACACACACACACACACACACACACATTTCTAGGAAGCCTGTATAAATTTCCTCCTAAACATTTTTAAGCTCTTTAGACTCCCCCCAGAAGACTCGTTAGAGAGTGCTCCCCCAGCCTCCTAGAAGAAAATTATAACTGTTGGAAATGTCATTGAATTGTCAACTATATACAGTATCTGGTGCATAAATTTTGAAACTTAAGTCACGGTTCTCTTGGTTCAGCAACCACGTAAAATAGTAAGTTTTCCAGCCCAAGACAGAAAATGCACAACTACTGCTACAGCAAGCGTGTAATCCATGTGCCCAAACTCTTCTCCTGTCCCTCTTCCTCTCCCCACCCCCCCACACTTAGACATTCTGGTTGACGACAGCATGTTTAGACATGCTTTAAGTGAGCAGCTCTTAACACAAGGGCTTTTGACATTGGGGTCTTTGCAAACTGGCAGACTGTGCTGAAGCCCAAAAGCCTCCTCTTTACTTTGGGGACACCAGGTGGTATGCTGTTTCAGCAGAAAGAGAATCCTTTGTTTTGACTTTAAAACCAAAGTCAGAACCATCCTTCAAAAAGCTGAGCCCCACTCTTCTCAACAGCACCCCGCCCCCAAATCCAGCCCTTGAAGGTCAGTTGCAGGGTGACAGAAGGGGGCGGCACAGAAAACCCCACCTCCTAGACCCTGAAGCAGCAAACTCAGTGAAGCTCCCAGGAGTTCCTTACCTGAACAGAAGTAAAAAAGACTTGCTAGCATCAGGAGCTGAAAGAGCTTGAGATACAGGTGCTCGAGTGGTGGTGTTCTCCGCTTCGCTGGGTGATCCATGGCTTCTGCGGCTTAGGGTAGAGAGCGAGAACAATTTCAAACCCAGTGAGACCTGGGTACCTCCCAGCAAGCACCAGGCAGGAGCAGAAGCTGCCTCACACAATTCAGCTGCCTCACACAGTTCTCCTGTGTTGCTTGCAGAAACACTGTGTACGGTGTCCCTGGGTCTCCAAACTCCTGAATATAAAAGACTATGGATTTACTTTCACAACCTGAGAAGGAAAAAAAAAAAATAATGAAGTCACCCAGGAAGGAAGGTTGGCCTAAGTATGGGTCATAAAACTCCCTAATTGCCTGCCTGAAATGAGTCGGGAACTTTAATCTGAGCAACATCTAAACCACACAATCTCAAGGGTAAAGAAAGGTCAGGGGAACTCCGAGGAGGTGATCTTGCCTTGTACATGTTCCCAAAATGAACCACAGCTCTCTCATGGAATGGTTCTCCTTAATGGGAGCAGGAAGACTTTGGTAGAAGCACGGAGAACTGTAAGGGCCCTCAGTATCAGCCAGCCAAAATTCAGATCCTCTTCAAAACATACCAAGAAACACAAAACACCAGTGAGGTCTTATTTTGTCCAAGGCAAGACTTAAGTTATGAAACTACTTCCTTCTCAATACATTAACATAAAAAAGTGTCTTCATTCTTAAATGTCCTATACAAAGAACATGTCTTAAACTGGCAGAGGTTCTGAATCAACAGAAAAATCTGTTAGTAAAAAGGAAAAGACGTACTACAAAAATTACTTATTTATATTATGTACTACCATGGGAAGAAGCTGATTTTTTTTTCAGTAAATTTAACAAAATTTAGAACTAAAATTGAATGTGGTGCTCCAATGTGATCTTCAGAGCTTGCCACCACAGACATAGTCCAATGCTACTCAGAAGACATTTGGGGGGGGGCGCCTGGGTGGCTCAGTGGGTTAAGCCTCTGCCTTCTGCTCAGGTCATGATCTCAGGGTCCTGGGATGGAGCCCCGCATCTGGCTCTCTGCTCAGCAGGGAGCCTGCTTTCCCCTCTCTCTCTCTTTGCCTGCCTCTGCCTACTTGTGATCTCTGTCTCTCATATAAATAAATAAAATCTTTAAAAAAAAAAAAAAAAAAGAAGACGTTTGGGACTCCTCTTTGGGAACTACCCCAGAGCTCATTTTCCAGCCACATTTGGCTATTTTATTGGCCACACTCCCTTTTAATCAGGATTAGCTTGGATTCACTCCTTCATCAGAGTTTTATGAGCCATAACTCTGTTGACGACTCACTAGCCATGCTGGGAAGCCTCAGCGTCCCATGGGAATGGGACCCCAATGGGCGGGCTCCTTTGGAAGCAAGTATGCATCTTGGAGATAGGAGTGACGGTATGTTTATTTAAAAGGCAGTCAGGTTGTTGGGAACTATTCCTACCGAGATATCCCATATTAAGATAAAAGTAAATGTACTTACTTGCTGAAGAACAAGTCCTCTTTTTCTCTTGTGTTTAAAAAAAAAAAAAAATCAAATAATGAGGTCCCAGTTCTGAGATGTTCTTTTCTTGCCGTCTCCAAAATAATGGCAAGTTGCTCAGCTTTTCTTTGGGTGATATACCAGAGGTGGCAATCCCCTTCCAACTTCCTTTACTCACTAGAAGATCAATCTAATTTTCTTTCACCAGAAGCATGTAAGTCAAAGCCGGGGATGGGTAGGTTGTTATTTATGATTTGAGGAAGCTTACCCTGCTATCCCTTTTTGTCAGCAACCTCCTCAGAGGGTGTGGCCAGGACAAAACACACAGTCCCTCCCTCACAATCTCGCGAAAACCAACAGTCTCAGGGGAGAGAAGACTCTAGTGGGCAGCCTGGGCGTGAGTGGTAGGCCAGAGAGGGGGAGGGCACTGGCTTTGGCATTAGATAGACTGTGAGTTTTGTGGGCCATTAGTTTCTGAGTCTCAAGTTTTGTTTTAGCATCCAGTTACCTCTCTCTACTCAATAGTCACGCCGCTGCAGGAGTGGGCTGTCTACCTCGTACGTCGTGGTCACTTTCTGGAGAGTGCTGGGCTCACTAGGCCACCCTTAACCGCACTCCCACCTCTCCACCCCCACTATCTTCACAGACGGGACTTCTGGCAGCCATGTTGGACAGGATCCCAGACACCTCAGGTGAGCACAATGATAGAAGTGAGGGGGTATGGTAAAGAAGTTAGTACCACCCCCTCCCCACCCCCAGCCTCCCTCTGTTTTCAACCAGCCTATGTAGAATTCTGGAGTATTCTGTGGGTAAACAGCTGACTCATACTGGCATAGCTGTCCAACAGGTTTTGCACAGATAGAACCTGCCAGCACCTTGGCTGGGCCTGCACTTTTTACAGTCTGCTCCTGGCCCTAGGGCATCTCTTTTCCTTTGGCATGGGATACCCCTTGCAAGTTCTGTACTTAAACACGTGCAACCTGGGAATAGGGGTAGTTAGTGCCCATGGAGTCACTCTTGACCAGAGGAGGTTGGAAGATAACAGCTTCCATGAGGAGTTCTGAGAGACATTCCATGAGGGTTTCCAGAAGGCCCCCGTGAGACTGAGTACTAGCTGCCTGCAGCAGAGGCCAGCATGGCAAAGCGCTTGTACTGGCTTTTCTTTCTTCCCTGTCCCAATCCTCCCGTTCTGCACCGCCAGATTACATTCCCAATAAACTAGATCTTTGTTTCCAGTTTTGCTTTCTAGATACTCTAGGCTAAGACAGGAGGGATGCTTTTATGGTAGAGACACAATAGTTTTCTATCTAAATTTGTAAAAGTAGAAAGGTAAGTCAATTCAGAGAAAAAAAGGAAATGACAGTAGATATGTTACATGAATATGGCAAACATTGTGACTATGGTAGAGAAGTGTCTGAACTACTGACTTCAGGCTATTAGAAAGTAGCCTTTCCTGGCAAAAATCACAGTGTAAGCTGCCATCTAGCTTAATATTTCTCAGTATTAAGGAAGGCACTGAGATCCCTTTAAATTAAAAGCTGACAGGGAATGATGACATTTGAGGCCCCTGGATATCCCTGGGGTGACAATCATCCTGAAGGAAGAAAAGGAAAGAATAAAGGCTTTTCCACTTCATCATTGTGCTTAGGCTCTGACAAGGCCTGCAGTGTGGCAGATACAGGACTTCGCTAGGAAGAAAATGGTCTCCAGGCTCAACTCACGCCCTGGCCTCAAAGAATTGCTGACTGCATTTGTGACAAATCTTATGCACAGAATGAGTGGTGGCTTCTCTGACATGATCTTCTAGGTCCGCTCCCACCCTGGCCCTCCTGGCATAGTGTCCACACTGTTGGGCTTCCCTGCCACCCACAGGATGCGGCTCTTTGGGCTATGGTGCATCTTTAAACTGAGATAAACCCCCAAAGGCACCTGCAGATTTTCAAAGGGTATGCAGGCCCTGGTAATTTCAAGAGAATCTCTTTCCAGATTTTCAGTTTCTTTATGGACTCTTCTGTAAAACTTACCTGCAGCGGGAAGGACCTTGTTTTTCTCCGTATTAGAAGAGAAAGGCTCTGACCTGATTTGAATGTTCTAGAAAGTGAAAAAACTTCAGGGTGCCAAAGAAAGAAACAATTGGAAATACTGGACTTTTAATCAATGCTGCCTTCTTAAATCAAGATAATCTAAGCCCAAGAGAGGGTCTCGTGCCCCCCCCCATTTTGTCCACGTTTCTGTAGAGGTACAAATGTGCCATTAGACGCAGATGTTCTGTAGAGTGGGGTGGCAGGAGTGGCGGCAGCATTTCCTGAATAAACGTGGCCTCTTCTACTTCCTGTCTATTGGCAAAGGCACCATCTCTCCCAAGGCAGCCAGAAAGAGCAAAGAGAATATGCGTAAGAGACAGGGAAAGCACCGGCACCTTGCCTCACCCCAGTGACAAGTTTGTGGCAGGGTTCAGTGGGTGGCGGCTCTGTCTATCTTAGATTTGGAATATTCAAGCTCTATAAAGCCTGGCAGGCAAGACTTTTTATGACAGGGGGCCATGTGTTTTCATCTTCTCTGTGAGGACAAAAAAAAAAAAAATTGCTCAGTGAGCATTTTCATACATCTGTGTCTTGGTCTGAGTGTCAGCTGCACATTTTCAATAATGATGAGGAAGGATGTAACAACTTCTACCTTACAGTTGCAGTGGCCTTCAGCTTCTCAGTGGAGGAGCTGAAAGTCTCCTCTGGCTCCTTTCCCTGCTTCATTCAAACAGGCTTATAACCTGCACCCAGAATGGGCCGTTAGATCTATGCTTTCAGACCATGGTGTTCCCGAGTGGTGTCATGGTCTGCTCACGCTGCTAGAAACATCATCAGTGTGAAGAGAGGTCGCCTCTTCCTCTTTAAATTCTGGTTCTCTGAAATGGAAATCACTGGAATTCTTCAAGGGAGAAGAGAAGCGAACATTCAGAGTTAACCCTTGTCCAAACTGTCCCTATTGCCCACTGCCCTTGTCCAAACTGTCCCTATTGCCCACTGCCCCTCTCCTGCCTGCATTTGGCGCTCTGTTCTCCTGCCTGGAAACCTTGAGGGTTCCTTAACCTTCTAGATGCCTTTCCCTGTCTCTTTGCCCATCCTAACATCTTTCCTGAAAGGACCAGACGAAATGTCAGTTCCTCAAGAAGCTCTCGTTAACTCTTCTAATCCCCATCTGCTCTTTCCTTTCTCTTTGCTTCTAATGTATGTACCATTCCTTTGGCATGGCAAGCCAATTCACCTCAAATTTATTGGGTTTGTACTGTGAACCCAGGACTGTGCCATGGGGGACGCAAAGATGAGTAGAATGGGAGAAATAAAAATAAGGTGGAGGGACCCTAAGCAGAAGAAGCGAGAATAGCAGAAGAAAGGAGCAGAGCAATTAGCTGAAGGGGAAGATGCGCCCCCAGCCCACGCCTCCCCCAGAGCAGCGGCTCATTTCTGTAAGTCACTATTTCCTAACCTTGGATTGGGAGATCCATCCACCAGGAGATTTGGAACCCTTCTTTGGCATACTTCCTGCCAGATGGCCTCGGCCTCTCTGCTTCTCTCAGTCCTCTTGGGATTTCCCACTGGGAGGGAAGCTCAGCAGCCCAGCTGACTCCCCAAGTTCCCCTCCCAGGCTTTGCCATGGGTCTCTGACGCTCAGGCCTGCAGCCCTGAGGTAACAGACTTCACTGCTTACCTGCAGGCTCTCAGTGAAGAGAAATACAGCTTCCAGGAAATGCAAAGTAACCACTCCTGTGGTGAAGCCTGGGGTGGGGAACGTAAACGGAGAGGGCTTCACAATGGCCGTTGGTTTGGGCAGATTTCTGGTGTCAGGCCCCTAGAGAGTCCCTCAACCTCCCCTGCAGTGGCCCTGAGAAACCAGTCCCAAGCTGGAGGGATTTAGTCTGAGAGCACTGTGAAAGCAATTCACTCTGTCAAATTCTGCCTTCTTCGTGGGTACTTGCTCTCTGCAGAGGCTTCAAATAGATTCCTTCTCGCATTTCAATAGCAGCTAAATGTCTGCGCAAGGTCTGCTTTAAATGGTGCTGTTTCTGGGAAGACATGCTGAGAGATGACTTTCCCTTTCCATTCAAGCTAAGCAATGTCTCTTTAATTTTATGAATAGACTTCAACTAAGACTCCCCTGTCCCCCTTTTTGAAGTCTGGTGACCATGACTTTTGGTTTTGACCTTTTGGTTTTCCCCTTCAGTTTATATTACATTGTCAATAAGAAGCAAACGGCGATTATCACTTCACTTTTCAGAAAAATGTCCCACAAGGAGGAAAGAGGAGCAGGGGGAGGAACGGAAGAGAGGGGGAGGAGGAAGACGAAGAAGGAGAAAGGAGGAGGAACGTGAAGGAGGGCGATTACCCCATTTTAGGGGTAGATAAATAGCTTGGTGTGTTTAAGTAGTAAATAACACACTTACTGTTAAATCTTTAATTCCCACGACCTTTAATTCATTGAAGTTCACTTTCATAGCACTACACTGTACCATTTTGAAAGCACTAAGATCATTTCTGGCTTCTGCCTATAGTTGGCTCCTTACTGTTTCTCAGGGGACAAGGAAAATGAAATAGAAAACTGAAAAGAGTGACTTTTCTAAGTTTGTTAACGGCTCTGGTGGACAGTTTGGGTGGAGGAGTGGCAGCCAATGGCTGTAGTGACCCTTAATTCCCCACCTAAATCCTAGAACAGGGACTGACAAGGATCCTGGGGCAGGTGCCTACCTACAAGTCTCCTGGACACAGTGTTTGTCTCTTCCTTTCTTAAAGGATCGAGCAATAACACAGCAAGCTTCTTTGAAAGGGGCTCTTTCTAGTTTTGTCCGGAAAAAAAATTCTTCCCTAAACACAACCGAACTATCTCCTGCTTTTCTCTAAGCTTACTTTCTCGCGTTCAGTCATCCACAGAAATTTAGGGGTGTGGGGGTGGGGGTGTAATTTATGTCTGTTACAAGCTCAAAACAAACAGAAACACTTTAGGGCGATAGAGAATTATTACCCAGTTCCTCAAAACCACTCGGACTGTGTGAAAAA